AATTGTTTCAAAAGTCGTAGACCTCTTTTGGAATCGCATATCAACGCAAATATAACTAACAATTCCTTATTATAATCCAACAATTACTTTTTTTAGACAAAATTTCATGATTGAATAACACGTAATTTAAAGATATAATGTACAAAAATTTTATTAAATGGAAATTAAATTAAAATTTACCTTCTTAATCATGGATTTAATCCTAATTTCTCTTATCCTATATATGGGACAGGTTTTTTTTTTTTCCTCCTAACACATGCATTGGTGTGGACTATATATTGTCTTGTGTTGAAGTAAGCCCACTTTAGAACAGCCAACATTTGGGCTTCAACATGCTTTCAGATGAAAACAAAAATGATAGATAGGACCAGAAACAATTTACATAAATTTTAAAAAATAAGGTGAGAAATTATAATTTGAATGAAGATTTAATAATTTAAATAGTTACATGTATAATTTAATCGCTGATTTAATAATTTGAGTGCATTCTTAGTGTAACTAACAAGAGAAAGAACATAAACAATTCACAGCATAAATCTGATTCCGTATTGTTGTGAAACTAGATAAAGTATTTTTGAATGAAACATCATTTTCTGTACCTAATATTCGTATTAAATTATATTCTAAAAGTTGTTGTTGTACTGTGTCCCACTCTCTGCGATGCTTAACCCCTATTTAAAAGAAGCATTCATTAAAAAACATGTAAACAATTCTTTTCCATAAGAAATGGTCCCCATGCATAAATTATAACTTTTTTCACAATAACTAAAAGTGCAACGTTTTATATATGACAACTTTATGCCTTTTAGTTTTTATTAAGCTATATAATTCCTGTAAGTTAGCACTAGATAGTGTTCCAAAATTGGGTCAGATCAAACAATATCCACTCACTCTAGTTAATTGTCGTGCCTAAAAGTGAGATAAAATGAAAAAAAAACAAAAAAACTATATGTGATTTTTATAATAATTTTTTATTTGAATTAATTATTTAAAAAAATATTCATCAACTTTGAGAAAAAAAAAGAGAATAAATTCCACCGAATATATATTATGACGTGTATATGCAACTTGATTGGGAGAGTGTTGTAGTTGGAGTACGAGATCATCGAAAGCGACCCAAGTGTAAAATTTTTAATGGAAGTTATTAGTTTATATGTTGCATTGAAAGTTCCTTTCGTATTCAAAATTATTAATATTTGACAACTCATACAAGCTTGTGGTCATTGCATTGGTCGTGTGTGACATCGTCGTATTATAAATTAATCTTTTTCACGACCCATAAACTTGTCTCCTCGCTTAACCAAAGTAGATAATTAAAAAAAAAATTTCAAATAATAGTGATATTTGATAAGATATGGAGTTTCCAAAAAATTGTTATTTTCGTATGAATCATGGGAAAGTGTTGTTATCTCTTTATTAGTTTCAGCACAACATTAGGTGGCAATAAGGATTATAGATCCATCCCTCCAAAACTACGAAGATGATGAAATTCTAATCAGAATTTTTTCTCCTGGTGATTATAATTATTTAATATATAAAGAAATAATTAATAATATCTCATATACACCCCCACGAGTTAATTAGAAGCTAATCATATGTATCAAAAATAGAAATTAATTAGATTCTGAAAACTCCATGGATCATCAGAATAAGCATTCAGTTATAATCATGATAAGTGAGCTTTTGGAAGATGGTAGTGGCCCCATGACCTTTGAATCAACGTTTCTTTTAATCATAAAAGGGTCATTTTGTGCAGCCGAAAGGACTACACCGGTTTATATTTTATTATATAATTTTTTTTTAAATTTAGGGTGCAGGCCTAAATACTTAAGCCACACAAGCAAGAAGACATACGAGTATGGAACAAGAAAAAGATGTGCTCACGACTCATGTAGACTTCAAGCATTAAAAAAAAAGTTAATACCTTTTTTTATTATTTTGATTTAGAATGGATCTTAATCATCCCAATTTGGCTTTTTTGAAAAAGAAAATTTTCTGAAATTTAGTGGTGCAGGCCTATATTATACTTCACACTCTAGCAAAACAACGTACGAGTATGGAACAAGAAAAATGTCACGTAGACTGCAATGCAAGCATTGAAAAGAAAATGAGTACCCTTTCGTTTTTCTTTTTCTTTTTTTTGTTGAGAAATCTAAACTGTTAGAAAATTAAATGCACCTCTGAATGAATGCAAATGAATCTCTTCGATCAATATTCATAACTCAAGATACTAATTAATATAAACTTTTACGTACGTCACTATGCAAACTGATACGGGATATTTCTTGGTTTATTTATGGCCTTGAATGTGTTTGTTTAAGAAAATGATAACATGAAAGAAACCAGAAAAGATTGATAGAACATGCATGCTGGTTAGTCTTGGAAAAGTGAAGCATCCAAAAAAAGTGAGTACTTGCATGTTAAATTCACCCGCACGTAAAGTGGCTACAACCTTTTCGGAGGCTTGGACGATGCATGCGCGTGGACCAACCTCTTAAAATACTCACACCCATTTTTTTTATGTTCTTTAATAAGCACTTTTTTTTCTTTTACAATTGTTTGGTGTAAAATTCTTAAACAAAAACTTGATCCATGGCAACAATGTTAGTTTCAGGAAAACACTTGTAAGGAGTATATAACAACTGCAACTTTAATAACAGGAAAACTTTGTAATAATTTGTCAAATATTCTAATAAAATCTACTCTTGCTAATATATATATATAGGTTATGTGAATCTATCTTGAAACGGGACAATGATTTCTCCATGTCCTTGTCTAAGAAGAGAAGTACTTTAAGTTCAACATCTCAAACATCGAATCTAAATTGAGTCAACCATTTATTTCTAATTAAGATATACAAAGTAGATAGTGTAAATTACTAATTTTGATATTGAATAATAATGAAGAATTCTAAGGGTGTGTGCATTGACTCTTTTTTATTTAGCGTAAAATTAAAAGAGTTTTTAAGATAAAAATGATAGATAAATTGAGTATATAATGGTGGTGAATATGTATATAGAAGTATAATTAATGTTGGTGAAGGTGAAAGTTTTCTACGCATCACACACTTTTCCAAACGAACTTCCATCATGGCCGGGCCATGTTTGGCAAACATCCCATGTGAATGTGACTTCTGTTTTCAAAAACTTGGAGAGCATTATGGTCGACCCCAGCTTACACACACATGATGTTGTCTAATCCTCTCACCACGTTCAACAAAAACTGAATCTGGGTAACATTATCAATTTTTATAGCTTTTATAAGGTTTTGAATTTGGGGTCGTGCAAATTTCAATTTTTCATGAATGATTCTCAACCCTAAAAACAAAAACAAAACACACACACACACACACATATATATATATATATATATATATATATATATATATATATATATATATATATATGACAACATTTTCAATAGAAAAATATGTTTTCAGAATAAAATCATCTAAAGGGAAGTTATTATTAGATAGTGAAATCCACAGCTAATGTATGTTATAACAATTTAGTTAGATGTCTACGCAGACAACACAACTTCGAATCAAACAGTATATTTTAGATTAAATTAAATTATGATGTAACATATAATTAGATACACACATCAAAAGTTGTTGAAAGCAGAACTCAATCAAATGAATAACCTAACACTGTCTATGTTCTTCTATTGATTGAATGAATTAGAACATGAGGGGATGAGTGGGAAAGAACAGGAAAGCAACTACACAGCAAAGTTACTTTTTCTCCCACTTGTAAGATTATTAAAGAAATCAATAAGATCATTATGTTTATGTTTTCTTCCTGGACTAAATAATATTATTTAATTATTAAGAGAAAGAAAATAAATAAATGAGAATGAGTTTATTTGTGTTAATGTTTCTCCCTTATTTATTTTGAAATTCCAAACAAGGGAATTCATTAAACCTACCCACCCACGTGAATTTCTTTTACAAGTAATAAAAAGTTTGGTTTGATAAATTGACGTGACTCAATACGCTTTTTGTGATTTCTGTAGGAGTGGTTCAAAACCTAATTAATTAGGTCCAAAACAAAACCTAATTAGTTGTGTTGGTTCAATTATCTTTATTTATATATTATTGCTAATTTACATTCAATAGCTAATTTAAAGAATCAAATCCCATTTGTGTTCTGTTTGCTGGAAAAATAGAAATTAAAATAATTTATTTAATCATTAATCCATTTAACTCACTTCACGTGATGGTCATGGATCCATTTAACTCACAAGTTCATCTTAGAAATATACTGACGCTGTATGGAATCCTATCTGTACTTCACTTCAACACGCAAATACACAAAAGTGGCAACGGATAACATTACATTTCATACGCGTTTCTTCTTTACCTAATTGGTTTCAAACACCCACTACGTTATACTTTCTAACTTATTTATATCTAACAATTCTTACTATAAATCTCATTCAATAACAAAATAATCATTAAATAAAAAGCGGCATATGTAAAAGCAAGAGCAGAACGCGGTTCTGTGTGTCTTCCCAAACAGGGGAGAGGGTGAAGGATGCGTTAAACGTGCGTTTTAGAGAGAGAAAAAGAAAACAAACAAAACAACTAAACTGATTCTCTCTTCTCTACTGTCTAAGTAGTCGTGATTCTCCTCTCTTCTCTTCTCTACTCCCAGATCTTGCAAAAACCCCTTTCTCCATAGCTACAACTCTTTTTCTCTTCTCGTCAAGATTCTTTTCTCTTTCTTTCTCACTCTCCACTTTCCTTCACTTCTTTCCAGTTCCGTTTGTTTCCCGGGAAAATCCCCAACCACAACCTCTTCTGCGGTCTTTCCTGCACCCTCCAATTACTTCTTGCTCCGTTCCAGCTCCCACATTCCACCTCCCGTGCATTTCACCCCGTACGGAATTCTCCACTGTTCAATTCGCGAAAGTCGAGTTTTCAGGTAAAACGGAGCGTTCTCTTGATGACGATACAGTTGCTGCAGTAACGGAGATAAGAAGAGGGGGAGGTGAGAATAATGGACGATAGAGGGGGTTCCTTCGTCGCTGTGAGGAGGATTTCGCAGGGTCTCGATCGAGGCAACACGTGCCATTCAACTTCTGGTAACTTCTCTCGTGATTTTCGTTACTTTCAACGTCTGATTCCTTTTTATTTTTGTTTTTTTTTTTTAATTTCTCTTGCTCACTCTCGCAATTAGTCTTTGAATTGAGATTGAACTCAGGTTTTTCACTTGCGTGATGTTTGCGGATATTCAAAATTGCATTGGTGGGTGAATTACTGAATTCATAGTTCATACAGCTACTACTACTACTTTTTAACTATTATTTTTTAATTTTGGCTGGTTTGAGAGTGAGTTAAGCTTGGTTGAGATCTATATGGAGCTAGCTCAGTTTACTGTGGAGGGTGTTGCTGTTAGTTAATCTTAGCGTTAAAAGCTGTTTGCTGTACTTAATCTATAGGTTCTACATGTGATGGGGTTATCTCGTAGATCTAGTATTCGTGAAATGCGTTGTTGCTTGCTTATGTATGCTGGAAGGTGCTGGAAGGTACTGGAAGGCGCAGATACTGTTGTATCTCTTCATTTTAGTGTGAAGCTGAGTTCTACTGTTTAGGTGCAGAAATAGTGGGGGATTGTGAATAAAGCAAGCTGGTGGGTGGCAGTATGATTGAAACTGAACAAGTGGCTGGCATAATGATTGATTAAAGCAAAACCCACTCCTCCCAATGGTTATATTTGGTTGCTTGGCTTTGTCCATTTCCCTTGTCCTAAGCTAAGGCAATAATACGAGCTGTAGAAAACAAAATATTTATTAGGTGATACGTTGGTTGAAAAGTGATATAGAGGGAAAGGGGGAAGAGATAAACGATTTTTTTTGGTGGTTAAAATAAGCTGGGTGGTTTTAGAAAGTGGGCTGAATAAAAACAGTGGTCTATTAGTAAGATGGCTGACTAAAACAGTGGTCTATTAGTAAGATTAATTTATTACTCAAAAAGCACGATTGATTTCTGTTGATCAACTGATTATAAATTAGTGGCGCAAAATTTCGAAGCTCAATCTACATTTATGGGGAGTTTTATTTTGTTACAGCTGAGTTTGTGACAGGATCAACAGCATGGCTTGGCAGAGGTTTGTCCTGTGTCTGTGCACAGAGAAGAGAAAGTGATGCTCGACCCTCTTTTGATTTAACGCCAGCCCAGGTAATGAGTTTTGTGATTTAATACCGAAGCAGTAATTTAATACCGGTTAAGTAATTATGCTAATTTTTCTCTTGGGCATCTTCCCGCTATAAATGAATAAATGAAATTTTATAATGTTACATTGTTAATGAGATGCGTCTTCGTGTTCGTCTTTTAATGAGATAAACTTATTCTAGACTATTTTCAGCAACAAGCAAGGCCTTTTCTGCATAGACACATAATTGAGCTATAAATTTGTATTGAAACATCTACCGTCTTGCCAAAAAAGAAAAAATAAAATAAAATTCAATTGTATTTTAGGCTATGTTTTCTTTTTTTCTTGTTTCTGGAAAATTCACTCAATTTGTAAAAAAATGTAGTTGCATATAATTTATAGCTTGCTCTAAATTTGTAACAGCTAATTTGACACCAATGTTTCACACGGTTGGGTTCTTTTGTTTATTTTATAATATTTGCTTGTGATTTATACCTCCACATAATATGTCACTCTATACTTCTTCTTTCTATTAAATATTGTTTGTAATTGTGCATGACAAATTCTCAGTGCTGAATATTCAATTTTCAGGAGGAGTGCTTGCAGAGGTTACAGAGTCGCATAGATATTCCATATGATAGTTCTATTCCTGAGCACCAGGTATCCCTTCTATTGATATTTTTCAAGTCGTTGTGAGTGCTGTAGTTATAACTAAGAAGTTCATCAATGACTTTAAGCCACGTACACATAACTTTATGTACTTCCTTTGTCTTAGCATATGTTCAATTCAATCTTTTATCTCTTGAGAATGTAATTTAGATTTTTTATACTTTCTTTTAGGATGCTCTAAGAGCTTTATGGAATGCTGCATTTCCTGAAGAAGAACTCCGTGGCCTGATCTCTGAGCAGTGGAAGGACATGGGCTGGCAAGGGAAGGATCCATCAACAGATTTTAGGTAGATATTACTCTTCTTGTTTTTATCTCAATGCCATAAACTTGCTGTCTTCACCCTATCTACTTGTTAATAATTTCTGTTTGTGTATATTTTGGTAGGGGTGGTGGTTTCATATCATTGGAGAATTTATTGTTTTTTGCTAGGAATTTCCCGGTATGATCTCTTTTTTTTTTTTTTTTTTCCGTAAGGTCATTTTCTATTTTTGTTCACACTTTCTGGTGTTGTAAAAAATATTTCAGAGTCATATGTTTTACTTGTCCAAAACAAATGTCTAGATTTAGACTGTTATATATAAAGGCTATTTGATTGCCTGAAGGGATCAACAAAGAAATCATATTAGGATTTTACCCTAAGGAAATGTCATTTTTGTTTCTAATTGTAAATAGGACTTATGTAGATGAATATTTTATTCAAGGATATTTATCTGTTCGAAGAATTAGTACTTCCTCCGCTTTAATTTGAACTGAGGAATTGTCATCTATTTCTTCCAAAAGGGACATCACTTTTCTTGCATGCTTTATTAGATAGTTATATGGGGGGAAAAGTAATATGCATGCAACAAAGAGAGAATATGATTTGCCTTCCTGCAGACATGGATAAAATTCTCATGTTCTGATTTGGACTTCCTCCATGAATTGTGATAATATGTCTTAAATGCAGAGATTAATTGCTGATCATGTTCAAAAATATGGTGTCCTCTTTTTCATGCACTTATCCCTGGCTTCCTTGCGTATTTTACTTTCTTGGTGTTGAATAAGCATAGACTACAGGTTTCATTTGCTACGAATGATTCCCAATATTGTTTTAGGAATATTACGTAACATACGTGTCTACCCAATCTTTCGGGTTTTGCCAGACACAATTTTGCATTTCCTTTAGACTCTTATTCCCGCAGGGTTTGTCTATGTTAATCTAGTGTTGATGCAATCCTTCAAGAACTTTTGCAGCAACCTTAGCTTAAATGAATCTTTGCTATTCATATATGTTATCATAAAACTTAGCATTTCTTTTTGTAGAAATCCTTTCAAGATCTTTTACGGAAGCAGGAAGGAGATCGGTCAGTGTGGGAATACCCATTTGCTGTTGCTGGTGTTAACATCACATTCATGCTTATTCAGATGCTCGATCTTGAAGCAGGTTGTTTTGCTTTTCCTTTTACTGTAGTTTTCTAGTCTCTGCTTATTTCATGTATAAAAGGATGAATGGGGGATGTCTATATGTATAGTGGGCACATTAGTTTCTGCATTCTGGTCTTGTGATATAATCATTTGAAGGTTATATGTTGCGTAAAGTGCTTAAGATATTTTATCATTTATTCTTTTATACTTCAGTATGGCTATAGTCACCACTGATCATTATCTGAGCGATGGCCAGTGCCAAATAGTAATTATGAGGGATTAGATTAGATGTGTTCAAGGGCCTATTTTCCTTGTCCCCAGAGCATAATGTTTTTACTTTATTTGGAAGAATGGAAGAAGTTGGTCAATCCTATCCCATGACATAGGCGAACCTTGTACATCCACTCTTCACTTTGAAACATTTTCATATACTTTTTTGCATGTTATATAAATTGTTCTTAAAATTAAATAATATTATGTCCATGCCCTTGGATTTAAATAAACTGTTTTGTATCATGTGAATATGCTTTTTACTGATTATAATATATTAGTTATATTTTCTGATGCAAGATATTATGAAACTGCACGTTTCTTAATGCAGACTACTGCATCATAGTGTCTTTCACAAGTATTGAATTGAATTTGGTTAAAAGGTTTTCTTTTATTAATGTTGTTTTACTTGACAGTCAAACCTCGGACTCTGGTGGGAGCAACCTTCCTAAAATTTCTTGCAGGTAGCCTTTATTTTTCCTCTTGTTAATCTATAAATTTTACTTGTATTATTATTATTATTTTTTTTCAGTTTAGATGGGAAGTAGGGAGGTAGGAACTTACGAATAATAAAATGGAAAAATGATAATGTTACAAATGGTTTTGAAGTATGATTGGACGAGTTTTTTTTAGGAGAGCAAAATAAGAAGAAAAATTGAAATTAGCTTTTCCACTAGTTAAAATTAGCTTATGTCTGATTTAATTTGTAGAAGCTCTCTGATATAGTTTATCTAATTTTTTAATTTTAATTTGTACATAAATTAATTTTAGCTTATGAAGAATTCAAATTCATTTTTTTCTTCTTATTTTTTTTTTCTTTCCAAGAAGTTTGTCCAAACAGACTCTTGGTACATTTGTTTCGATCTATGAAGGCCTTTTTTTAAGGGACATGTTTCTTCTACTACATCTCGTCCACTTTCACTTTTCTTTCCTAACTTTTTTTCTCTCACATAATTGGTGCTACATAATTTGTAATAGATTCATGAAAATTCTTTCGTGCAAAATGGCATTGCTTGAAGGAAATACTTGTGTTTATATAGCCTTTTCTTGATAGTGGTAGTCTTCTTTTTATGATAGTTTTCTCTGTTTCACTTTCAAGTTACTAAATTCATTTCTATCCTTCTCTGACAGATAATGAATCAGCTTTTGATCTTCTCTATTGCATTACATTCAAGATGATGGATCAACTATGGCTTTCTATGCGTGCATCATACATGGATTTTAACGTATGTATTCTTTATCATGAATTTATTCTGTATAAATAAGGAAATATATGGCGCTAGCTAATTTAACTATAGTATGTTAAGTTTCTTCGGACTGCTAGTGATTATCAACATGTTACTTATGTTATAACAGACAGTAATGAAATCTACACGCCGTCAGCTGGAGAAAGAGCTTCTGCTTGAAGATATAATGCGGCTAGAAGATATACCCTCTTACAAACTTCTCACACGATAGTCATCAGTGCTTACTTCGATTCTACTAGTTTTAGCCAGAAGGTTGTACTTGATGTGATGCTACTCTTATAATTTTCATTCCTTCCCATTCGGCATTTAACCTTCTAACATCTGAGCAAGAGTGAGGCGCGTCTAAGTATGATATCAAGGTTCCGGAGGCATCAGTTAAGATTTTAATCCAGTTGGAGGAAGATATTGTGGGTGGGACAAACAAACTGTCAGGAGAGTCTGAAATGTAGGTTTGCTTGGTACCGAAAAGGTTAGGTTGTAATGAATTGTGGTTTGCCTATGTATTTCATCACTGTCCTTTAAAGAGCAAATATAGCTTGCAGTATTATTGTAATTCAGGCACTTTGTACCCTTTTTCTGGACTACAGGCAGGAGTACCTAAGTAGTTGGATTCTGCCTAGGCCTTGTTTGTGGAGGAATTAGTATACTGCATGTTGTTGTTCGAGTTGATGAATAGTACCTTAACTATTACGTTTGGCTAAAAGTACCCTGTTTCTATTGTATGCATATTTTTTAATCTTTAGTATGGGGCAGCGGTTTTTTATGGTCTTGTTCTGTTTGTTGCTTTATCGAACTCAGCTAATTTCCATCAACCGTCTAACAATTTTAAATATCTGCTTCTTTTTGTATGCACTATGATATTTATCACTGTATAGATCTGTGCGAAGATATTTGGATTCGTGATGAAGATACAGCAAATTCAAGCAAGCTGAGTGAGTTGTATCAAAATTTAATGACTCGGGTTAGTTGCTTAAGTGGGCAATTTAGTTTCTTAATAAAACTAAAGCAACTCATATAACACGAATTGAGACATAGGGTAAGAGTTGGAATGGTTTTTCTTTTGAAATATTAAATTAAGTGAAACCTTAACAATGGCTAGGAAGAGCATTAATGAATCACAAATGGACATAGAAACGTTGTTTAGGATTTACATGATCGTGAACATGTTCTCACCTGAAAGAATAAACTATTGATTCCAACATAAAAACACAATGCCTAAGAAATACATTAATAAACCAAAATGGACAGCATTAATTGTTGTTCTCTTCCTGAAAATAGGTTTTTATGCTTTACTTACCCATCTACCATTGGAAGCACCATTTCTCATCCAACTGCTTGTTTAAAGGATACGGCCAACATTCATCCTAACCTAGAATAAAATTCTTCATGAGACTTTTTATTGCGTTATTTATTATAGCTTCCTTGTTCATAGACAAGTTGGTTCATAATTATCTTTCAATTGATCATCTTAATACGCACATGATTTTAAATATACATTAAATTATCTTGAATTGACTAATTTATTTTGCTAAAAGTTATTAAATTATGCGGGTCAAAAGTTTAACAACTGATCTCTGTTGAACTTTGTCCCTTTATTCGCTCCTACTAATCCTCAGGCTTCAAACATTCCAACCAGTCTTGTTTCGACCGACAAGCCCCTGCGACATTGTCATTGTCATAAAGTAAACGATGAAAATGCTTGTTAATCACTTGAGAGACCATATATGAAACTGGTTGAGTATTTTTCATTCCTGGCCCTGGTATTTCTGGGAAATCCATGGTTCCCCAGGAACTGATGTATTTTAATGTGAACAATGAGAATATTATTTTTTTATATATCGAAAAAGACTACATTAATAAAATATATACTCATATTTTATGTATTAGAAATATATATAAAAAACACTCTAAAAATTCTAACTAAGTAATATTTTTTTGTTTATTATTCAAAGGTGGATGTAAAAAAAAGTTTGCTTATAGCAGTGTAAGCTAGTATTTTCTTACTCACCAAAAGTAAAGAAAAAAAACTTGAATTTGAATTTTAAAATGTGAGATGTTTAAGTTTTTCACCTTTAATATTAGAAGTTCTCTTGGATTTTTTTTTTTTTGAGTTTAACATATTTGTTGGGTTTAATAAAGAAGACTACATTCATATAAATATATATAAAAAAATAAGATTTATATTTAAATTCTAATACTCCCCTCAAGTGTGATTTATTATATAGGAATATTCTCTCTTTAAATCTTTATCAAGGATGCATATCTTAATAAGTATCCTTATTAGTACTATCTTACATTGTACTCTATTGAGTCGATCACGTCCATTGGTACCACAGTTAAGATTTTTGAGTGGGATTAACAACTTTGTTGAATTTAACTAAGGGATACTACATTCAAAACAAACCTGAGTGTCACGCATCAAATCAAACTGAGAAATTTCTATCCGGTGAACAAATTGGCGCAATCCATCAATGGCCCATACGAGGCCCACTCAAGCACGTCGGCTCGACCCAAGTCCTAAAAGTTGGGGTAAAGCCTAAAGTTGTAGAAATCAACAACATATTTTCTGAATATGTTCTTACTGGAGAGGAGGACCTTCTGAGAAAAGAAGATCTAAGGAGAAAGAATGTGCCAAATTGGCGAAGAAATATGCCATTTTATTATTGTCTTTACGTAATGCACGTACAATCCACGCATCACATTCTCTTCCTCTAAGTGCATTCCAACAACACTTACTTTACACGTTTAGTTTTACCTAGTTACACACTAAAATAGTAAAACTGAAATTGAAAACTCTTATTGTTATGATGCAGTTGGCAAGCTGATTAAGAAGTTTAACGTGATACTTAAGTCATCACACTTTCTTCAAAGATTAGTTTTTGACATCTCTACACTCCTGTTATCTCATCTCAGTAAAGAATAATAAAAAAGAAATCTATATATTCACAAAAAATATGTTCTGTAAATATGAACCAAATAATAATTTTTATGGGGTAAGGGTTCCCTCCAAACAAGAAAAATATGGAGAAAGAAATGTAGGGAAAGTTGTAATAAGTATACATACAGAGATTGAGTTCAACTTTTGAAGAACACTGAACTCTGCTACAATTACATGGCAGCATATATATATATATATATATATATATCAAAGTGGATTAATTAAGTTGATAAATACAAGTACATGATTATGACCTAACGACCCACGTTGACCTACTAGAAAGAGGTAAAGCATTCATGCTCCGAATTTGAGTCGTCGCAAGGAGAGTGATTGTGTCTACCTTCATAGGTGGTTATCACCATACGACAATCCTCTGAGAGTCGTTCAACCCTCTTCTTCACCCTACAGTTGTTGTGGGTGCAACGATAATAACTTCTGCAATAAATCCAAAAAATGTGACCAGTAGAAACAAATACATCAGAAACTACCAAGATATATATATATATATATATATATATATATATATATATATATATAGAGAGAGAGAGAGAGAGAGAGGAGCTTTCTTTTTCGTCATGTTTTTATGTCAAATTAATCCTTAAGTTCACATCATACTTGTTCAATGAAAGACTGTAAATTCTTGATGTGCATGACAGAAACTGGACACAAGTTTTAGCTGGTCTGTGATTATTACATTTCTATTAGCAAGGTTAAAATTAGTAAGGAACTATATATATAATAAACGATAAAATTAACTTGATGAAACTTTGTAGAGTACTTTTGGTGTTATTTTTCAATTCTTAGATGTTTTGTTTGAACAAGTGGAATTCTGATTAAAAAAAAAAAAACACCTAACCATTTAAGTTTTTCTAACAATAAAACCAGTCTTACCTCTGCTCATGCTTAGCAGTAGAGAGTTTGATTATATACATGGGCAGTTACTTTAAGACATGGCGTTTTGGTTTGCCATTATTGGCCAATAAACATAGTTACTTAACAATGAAACTGTTTCTGTTGATGTTGTGTCTATCAAACACAGAATTTTTGTCATTATAATTACATCTAAAGCAAATTCCTCTATTACTTTATCAGATTCATTCTTGAATCATGTAATTCGTTTGGAAATATTATTTAGTAAGTATAAAGATAGGTTTATTGGTATTTAGTATTGGAAAATGATACTTTAACAACCCAAATTCATACAACTTCTATATACAACTCTCTTTTAATATTATAATAATAATTTTACTTTATTTTTATTTTTATTAAATCATTCTATAGAATATTATATTAATAAAAATGAATTATTTGATAGATTATATGATTTCAGGTTGTCAAAATATCATCACTCTATTCACATTATGCATCTGACAAATAACAAGAAATCAATTTGTGATTGATAGTATAAAAATAGTGCATATTATTAATATATATAGATTGGCAACAAAAGTATTTGTCATAATAAATAATCCTCTTACTACATAGTAAAGCAATTAAATAAAAACGATATTAAATATGTGGCATTTTAAAAAAAATTAAAGGTTCAATCTTTCATTTGAGCTCCACCAAAAAGGAATTATGCATTTAAACCTCATCACGATAATTTTTAATCTTGTCCCGAATGTGTGAGAAATTATAATATTTACATACAAAATATTAAATTAATGACTATATTACACAAACCTTAGGGTATATTAATTAAATGCGACATTCTTATTATTTAAGCAATCTCCTCATTTTATTATGCACAAATATGGTTAGGTGGCCTATATCATTAAGTTATAAAACCTATTCAACTAATTATAGATTTTTGAAAAATCAAATATTTAAATAATTTGCCCAAGATCAAGGTCTTTATAAAAAATTGATTGACTTTAGTATATAATTGTTTACTACAACACTTATGACTTTATTACATATTACTTTTATATAAGATAATAAATTTAGGAAAGATATCAATGTATTTAATGAAAATAAATTAATATATAAAATTTTACACCATCATCTAATGAATTATAGTTTACTATATCACTAAAAATGATTAATTGTCGTAAAAATTATTTTAAAAGTCCTAATTAAGATTTTATAGTTAATTGGTAACATTGAAAAAAAATAATGATAATGTATAAAACTTAAAATCTATATAATTGAAAACCGGAAATTTTAAGTTTCTTGACAATTTAAATGCATTAATGTTTCTAACCTATGTAATGATGTCGTTAATTCACACAAAATATGGATAAATGATATTTTTATAATTTATTAATGCTAAGATAGAAGAGCAAATATAATTATTTTAGTTTTTTTACATGTATGTTTTTGATAATTATTTTAAAATATGTAATTATACATGAACTTTCTCTCATTGATGTTTCAAACTTTAGTTATCATCTTATAAATAAATTAAAAAAAAAAACTAGTTTCTTTTACCAATATCAACCTCATTATTAAAATATAGTATAATTAATAATCTTCTAATTTTTTAAGCACAATAACATTATTAATATAGATTCAATGAAATATCACTCTTTAAATAAAATCAGTTCAGTTTAAATATCTCACACAGGTTTATTATCGAATTATATAGTTAATCCAATATTTGTCATTTCAAATTAATGTATAATATTTTAAATCAATCCAACGTATTATCATTTTGAAGTAATGTATAATAAAACAAAAAGAATAAAATTTAATTATTAAAAAGTTAAAAAAATCAGTTTCCAAATGTCAGCGGAAAAAAAAGAATGGCTAAAATATCAATAAAGCTATTTATTTAAGAAGCATATACAATATTTATTTTTTTATTGGTTGAAAATGCTAATAAATCTTATCGGTTTAACATAATATCATCTGATTGATTTAAATCGAATAAATAAAATATATAAAAAAACACATCTAATAAATTCTAAATTAGTTCCCAATCCCATGATATATCTATTTTTCCGTAAAAACAAAAACTTGACAAGACTCATAATATGATAAAAAAAAATTCTAATTAAGTACAAATAATATTTGGTTTTTCTACTGGTACCACTTAAAAATAATACACATCACATGCATGAATTTATTATTCATATGTATGGATTAAGTTATATATATAGTTCCTTATGTGAGAAACAGGTTATTATTTCCCCATAGTATCATTCCTATTTATTTTCAATAAAATTGGTAATGAAGGTTGGTACTGCATCACTTTATGATGTTAATTATTGTTTGTTAAACACTATGTGTTAATGTCAACCATGACCCATCATCATATTAGAAAACATTTCTGCTTATTCCAGTTCCATGAACCTTTGTTCCTGGAGTCATTTCAACTCTTCCATCTTCCTAATTGCACTTCTAAGTACATATCTTTAAGTGCAATCTTGTGATGATGATATGTATCTCATGTGTTGCTTCTTTAGTTTAAGGAGATTGGATGTAAATAGATAGTACTTTGACCATTTGCATTAGTGTAAGAAGTTCCTCAAGTAAAACTATTCTTACTGTTTCTTCCCATTCACGCAACATGAATTAAGTACACAAAAAATGTTTATCTTTTTGGTCAAATATGCATGCCACACTCTTAACACTATATGTACTGAATGAGAGTGTTATTATGTGTTGATCTTACACAACAGAACAAGAATTGTATGCACATATCGAATCATATCGTTGTCTTAATCATGAAACATTTAGCATCTAGAATATCGGCTTCTGAAGATTTCTTTTATGTGCAATATATACATTGTTGGGAAATAAGAATAACGCCAGAGCTGAATCTAGAGTTCACAGCATGCACGTTAGGTTTTGATTTATAAATATTTTTATACAAAATATGCTACTCCGATTTTATATTAGATTCGGCATAAAAAAGAATAATTAAATTAATCTGATTTAGAGTGCTAAATACAGAACTAGACCTAGACAATGGAACTTTATAAACGAAGAAATTCTCTAAAAGACAGTAACACATAGCCGTTTAAGTTACAACTTATGAACCAGATCCTTAACCCATTATCTTCGTTAAGACTATATATATGTATTTTAATCCAGTCATTGAATTTGAGAAATCAGTTGCCATATTCGTAACAAGAATTGGAGATATTAATTAGCATCAAGACACAAAGAAACTTTGGTCCTTGTACGAAACGAAATATTCAATAATAGAAATTCTGGATATTCTGAATGTTTTACTGTGAATCTAACCATTTCAATTTATCATTTACACTGTTATGTTGAGCCAATTAACTTAGCTGAAACTATTCTGGGTTAATTAATTGAACCAGTTTTAAAACATTACTGTAAATTTGGTTTTAAATTTTGACCTAATAATTAACTCAAATAACAACAATTAGTAAATCTCAGTTGTATTGATTATTAAATCGTATTGGATTTTGTCATACAACTGAACCAATCTAAAATCATGCTGATCCTATTCAAGGTCATGTTGCTTTTTGAATGATTTAAAGTTTTTAAATATTAATGTTTACGTATGACAGTACAGGATTTTTTTTTCATTTTTATATAAAAATGATTTTCTCCCGAGATATATTACTGTTTATGACTCAATTTATTTGAACAATAGCTTGTTAATCAAACTAATAACCTAGATTAGTAAAGCTTGTTAATGCATGCATGAACTACTAACCTTATCAAATCTCATACCATGTCTCCAATCTTTTCAACATTTTCTAAAGATCCCATTAAATGTTTCAACTGGTCCAATCGCACAATGTAACTTACTTTTTCTTTTATATGTTTACTGTGAGTGCTGTTCGAACCAATTTGCTCATCATGCACAACTAACTTTCTCAACTCCTAGCTTTTACCTGTACTAGCTTTCAGACACATGACAAAAATCTTTTCCTCCTTTCCCCATTCAAGCTAAAATTCATGTAAAACGTTTCATACGCTGAAAGATAAACGTATTGTACTATTTCTCAACCTTTAAATTTGTCCTCTATATATATATATATATGGTGAAAACTGATTTATCACTCGAGGTTCTTCTTTAATCAGCAAAATTTTTAATTAGCCAGTCATATAAATTGACAGAATATATTATAGAATATGTTGAGTGATATATATATATATATATATATATATATATATATATATATATATATATATATATATTTGTGCAAACATACAGATGAATCATTGAGTTACAAGTAAAAACTTTAAGTTCAACTGCAGCCTTTCAGCATAGATGGATGAACATGTAGAGAACTTTGTCACAGAAATACCACCACAAAATGGATGGTTTTGAAAGAGTACGAAAGAGGGGACCTATAGTGCATCTTATTGTCAAAACTCTAATAATAGCCCACCAAATATTTATTATAAGTGATATATATATATATATATATATATATATATATATATATATATTTATTTATTTATTTATTTATTTGACTTGAAGTTTAAGCCTAAGGTTCAAATAATGTGCATAACAATGTATTCCCTATTCATAATTTTATGTAGTATTGAAAGAAATGATCATGAATTATTCCTTCTATATCCTCAATATATAGGTAGGAGATTCCCTCTATTTTTTTTTGTCTCCGTGTGTCATTAAACTTTTGGGCATCCTATTCTTTCTCAAAAACAAAAGTCTAAGATGAATGATGCCGATAAATCTTGTGACTTGTGATCAGGATTTGATTAAATTATTCACTACCGACATACTTTTTTCCAGAAAAGGACATTTTACCTTCATCTCCCCCGGGTATAATGCCTGTGATATTGCCAGTGTACTCAACCACAAACACTTTCTGTTCATAGACAGTTTCACACACCAAAAGTATATCTTATTTTATATTTTTATTCTCACTTCTCCCACATCTTGAATGTCTTGTAATTATTATATTCAATGAATGTCATTTGATTGGGTAGTTGAGCAAAATTCTTCAGTTCAAATCCTAGTTATTATGGCTTCCTTTTATCGAAATCAAGTGCTGCTTTAACTTCACTTTTACAAACATATATCAATGAATCAGTTCAGTAAAAAAAAATAAAAAAAAAATCAACTTCTATGTGATATGAATATATACTCCTTATTGTCCTTAAAATAAAATATATTGAGCAAATCAAAGGCATGATTAATCAAGATTTGAATATTACCTGGGATGAAGGCTATTCTTGACAACTTTCTGGCCGTATTTCCTCCATTTGTAACCATCATCAAGCACATCTACATCGCTTCTTGTTTGGAAACAAAACCTTGGTTCTCTTAGCTTCCTCCTTATCTTCACCTTGTTTTTCTCTGTAGCTGAGCTCCTCCACCTACCACAATATGTACAATATATGTAGCCTGATTAACTTGATTGAAAATATTCTTCATCCCCGAAAAATATTAATAAAAAAATGGACAAGTGAGCTGTTTGAGAGAGAACATGTGAAGTCAAAACATTCATGAGTACATTCGAGATTCAACAAGTATCAAGACTTCTGAATCTTTAAGTCTTGCTCCCCATTATATAGTTTTAGATTGATAATGGGATTTCATTTCAGTTTTTGATGTCGCAGAAAATTTAAATGTATAATGTGATCACATAAACTAAAACTAATTGTGGATAAATGGGTACAGTCCCGATTGTGGCCAAAACGAAAAAATCTAAAAATCTTGCTGTTGCAGGAAAATCACGAATTCGAACTATCTCTAAAAAGCTTGAATCCAGACAAAAGAAGCGATCCCTTTCTTATAAAGATTGGAGAGAACTTTAAATTTTGATCTGATTCCTGAAGAATATATATCTTTAAACTGAACATATAAATAAAAAATATTTACGTGCATGCACTTGGAGAGGGAGAGAGAGAGAGGAGATAGCAATGGGCATAAAAATTACAAATAATGTAATGGAATTGAAGTTAATTGGAAGAGGGATACCAAGCGTTATTGTTGCCTTCACTGGCATTTCCAGTGCAGTTCTCTTCATCTACAGCCTTTGGATCCAGAGTTCCTACCTAAGATATACCATAAGCAAAAAATCATTCTTACAAAGGTGATGGAATGATAAATACCCTAAGATCGATAAGGACACAAAAGAGGAAAGAGAACACAGAGGTAAATAAAACCCATAACCAATCATTATATAAAGGGCGGAGATCAAAGAGCTTTGTTCGATATTAATTCTACTTGAGGAGATTAATTGGCAAAGTACAGCTAAAAAGTGAATATCCACCTGGTCGTTATTCCAAGTTTTGGTGACAATTTCACTATGATTCATGAATCCGATGGTTGCAGCAGTTGTAGCGGTAGTAGTAACAACTACATCACTGTTTAAGGACTGGGAGAGGTGAGAAGATTGAGATTGAGAAGAGGGTGACAAGAAGCCAAGGACCTGGTTTTCTTCATACTGAACAAAGCCCAATTCGTGTATGGCTTGTGGGTTGTTGGTGAAAGAAACTTGAAGCTCATAATTGGGAGCACCACCTCTCTCTCCTTCCATATCCCACTTTTGGATGGTTCCAAATTGAATTTGACTCAATAACTGGTCTTTCGATTCGTCTTCTTCCTAGCTAGATAGCTAACTAAAGCTCTTCTTCTCGTGTAATACCTCAAATCCTATGCCAAGTGATTGGAAAGAACACAGAAATTAATGGTAATTCAGGAGACCAGGACAAGGGTTTTGTACTTGGTCAACTGCTACTATGGAAATTATTCCTTTCCCTTTTCTTTAAGGTAGTCTATTCTTTTCTAATCTTGTACACACACACACTATTAAAATACACGTGCATTGTCCCACAAGTGTTTTTCAAGCGACTCTGTCTCAATTGGTGTGGAGAGAAATGGAATTAGCAATGTCCTGTCTTAATTCATCGCCTCAACTTGTATGGATATATACACCATATTTTAAGGAATTAAGAAAACCCTATTAAACAGGTAAAAATGTTGTAGAATATTTTAATGGTTTTTTCTTTTTGACTTTACTTAAGTTAGTCAATACCAAATATAACTTTCACATGTAAAATATATACAAAAATATAATAATAATAATAATAATAATAATAATAATAATAATAATGTAAACACAATTTTATTTTTTATTTTAAATGTTTTTATTATTTTTACCAATATGATATACATACACATTCATAAAGATATCATATTTAATTTTATTTTGATATTGCTTGTATAAAAATGGAGATTTGTTTTTTCATTATTTATTCTATAAACTACATTTTATACATTAATTATTCATAGACCTTTTAACTAAACTTAAAGTATAAAACATACGATGATTAATTATAAAAGCCAGAAAACAGCTTAAATTTATTTGCCTAATAAAAAAAAGTGTAATTAAATATTTAATGATTCAAAGTAAATTATTTTAATTCGTATATTACATACCTATTTATATACCATATTAGCTTTGTGGAAGAAATATTTTAGCAAAGTTCTAATCTCAGGGTGGATTATTTTCTAATGAAAATGCAGAAAAGAAATATCAACATTTTGTTGCACCCTGCCCCTATTATATTCTCTTATTGTTCTGAAAATCTCCTCATTTACTTGACTGAAATATTAAATCTATTAAATGTGAATTGGATCAGCAATATCCCTCCATCTAATTAGCTTTCATGTAAATTCATCATGCATAGGAAATGTATTCATCACCAACTACATGATTGGAATTCCCTTATTAAACAAAATCTGTGTAGAATGTGACATTTTATCTGTTGAAGAAAAATTAAAATTGACACAGAAACTAAAGTATCCCTTCAACCAGAATATTTTCTGTTGAACGATTATTGTGTTATAATTTTAGTAAAATGAGTTTTTGTGTTAATGATGAATAATTTTATTGAGGGTCATTTACTACAAAAGCTAGTTATGTATTAGAAGATTGTATGTTTGATAAATTTGGAAATGAAGAATGTTTGTAGACCTACTTGCAATGATCTCTTTCATGTGAAGGTTATTTCAGATGTTGATTTTACTCAAGATGTTTATTGTGATGTGTTTGAAACTTCTCTGCAATTTTTATGTCTCTATTTTAACGTAGTGAATAAATGAAAAAAGATTGATATCGTCTTTTTTTGTATGTTCATGTGTTTTTCATCGTAGTTTAAGCTTGTGGCTATCTTGATAAGTCATAGACATAGTGGTTATAGTGCGGGTCTTTAACATAGTTGGTAAGTGTGATTGTTTAGAACCCACAACAAAGAATCAACTATGTTTCGTGTGTGTGTGTGTATATTCGTGGAAGAAATTTAATATTTTTATAATAAAAATATGTATCAAATAATATACATAAAAGAAAAGAGACTATTTTTTTTTTCCAATATCAATTATGAAGAGGACAGAGTTAGAAAGAGAACTGAAAACGTAGAAGTCTAAAGAACAATGAGTGGTTTACATCAAAAAAATTCCTTCGATGCCAAAAATGTCGAAGCTTATAGACAGAAAATGGGGAATAAATTAAAATACAAAAACATCCTTTCAAAACTTGTCAAATCTTATTCCAATTTGCAGTGGAACAAATCTAAAAAAAGATACGAGAAGCCAATAGTTATATATTACGATAATTGTTATTCGATAATAAATCATCGTCGTATGTTAAATTTATTAGTTTTTATGATAATTGTTTTAAAAATCATATTGAAATAAATTATAACAACATAAAAAAAAAAAGAGAGTCACAATACAAATTCATTAAACTCAACCATACACGACTAATATTTTATGAAATTCGTATTCCTCCTATTTAAATTAAACAATATATACTGTATGTTTAATTTCCAAATTATTTTTTTAGAGAATAAAGAATATTAAATTAGGACAATTAACCCTTCAGACTAGAGAAATACTATTTCTACAATATATTTTTATAAAAAAAATTTGCATTGTGGAGAATAAAATAAATGTTGAGATGAAAAAAAAATTAAAATAATGTAAAAGTATATTACAAAAATAATGGTTTTATAAAAATGTGAGAAAATATTATTCTTAGAAGAAAAAAAATTGCGAGAACGTATGAGAAGAGTAATGAAAATTTTCTTTGTTTTCCATTATTAGCTTCATCTAATTTTCTTTGCCCGTTGAAAAGAGTCATTCATGTCCCCTTCACAAAATTCCCTACTTTCTCTGCATTTTCTTCTGCCTCTTTCTCTTCTAACTTTATGTTTTCATCTTTGCCTCAAAGGAATTTGTGTCCACTGTAAAACCCTATTCTTTGGATCCCTTTCAACACCAACTTTTATGGTTGAAAACATATTTATCTCATCTTTTATTGTTCCATGATGTACTTTTCTACCAGTGCAATCTCCTTCACTGATTTTTAAAAACAAATAAAATCTTTAATAAACGTGTGATGTGTCATTTGTTAAGTCAACTTGACCTAACTACAAAATATAAACACCACTCTCATGATTAATTACAAGAACTAGAACAAACATAACCTAGTTTTTTTTTTTTTAAAACGCTCACGGTGTAATAAAAATTCAATGATACTCAGAAACCATATATGACTCATCTTTCTGGTTTTTCTTAAGAGCATAAAAATTGTTACAAGAGACAAACCTGGTTTTCCCACCCAACATTAGTACAATTCTTCATAAAACTGTCAAATAGTTGATATGGATGGATATGATATATTATATATTGTTTCGAAAAGTAACTTTTTTGTTTGTCTCTCTAACTATAGAGGTGAGAGAAGTTAATGAGAAATTTGAATGTTTTGTCTTAGAAATTGGAAACAAACAGTGTCTCACAGAAGTTGATGAAGATACGTTTTAAAAAGCATTATTATCCACATAGTGGTCCCCAGACACCTATGGTTTCACGTTAATGCAATACTTGTTGCCTTCAACTTTCTCTCTCTATCTTTCAAGTTCTCTACGTCTTTTCTTATATGCATAATGCATGTTTTATATCATTCTCTACTCTAATAACATCCATTAATTATCCTCAAGGAATCTCTGTCTATATACCAAGATATTTTCATTTTTTAATTTATTTTTTAGATATATGAATTGTTAAAGTGTTCAAATACAATACCAATTGATAAAATATGTATGCAAACAAAATACAACAAACAAAATTACAAAGCATTTTTTTTCAATTTTTACATAATTAATAAATTTTGCAAACTAATAATAACATAAATCTATCTTTTATCTTTATATTATTGAAACTTTCATAATTAATTATTTTAACTTTTGTTGAGTGTAAAGGATTGAAATAGATAATTTCTATTGAATATAAATATTAACAGTGAAAAAGAAAATAATGACTAATTCTAGAGCCAGGCAACTATTATGTTAATATTTTTTATTCAATAATGATTTACACATATCAAATAAGAATTCTTCCTTCATGATTACAAGCAGTTAACTTTTTTTTTTTTTTTTATCTTTAGCTGAGATTTTTTAATGTAATTAGGTCTATTTTTATGTAGCTATTACTTTTTTTATTCAATTAACTGTTATTGATTATTATTCTTTTTTTGTCAGATTCTAATTAGAAAAATAGATTATTTATATTGTTTTATAATTTTAATTGTAATTAAAAAAATTCCTTCGAGTTACAAATTAAAAAAAATAACTAATTGTTTTTATGTCTAAGAATAGAATAAAATAAATTGATCAGTTAAAATCATATTTTTAAAGTAAGTACTTTGGTTACACTAATTTAAGGGATGGATAATGAAAGAAAACTTATGTTCTTTCATTTAATGCTTAAATAATTTTGTAGAATGGTAGTAATATAATCTTAATTAAATAGAAACTAGTGATTAGATGATAATAGAAATTTAGGGTTAGATTATAGTGGAAAGATATTAATTAGATCACTTGAGACTTCAAAGAGAACTCTCAAGATATTGGTTTTTTACATCTTGAATGGTGGATATGGTTTTGTGTTATTTGGGTTGGGTTGTGTGGAGTGAATGAAATAATATAATTTTGAAATTGATGGAGATGATTAAATAATGGTTGTGGATAAGTGCTTCTCATACCCTTTATCTTGTTGCTTCCAATAAATGAATGTCTCATTAGGTTTAGATGCTAAATTTGGATTATGATGGAAATATCTAAATGTTTATATGTTATTGGCCATACTCAAAAACTTCTTTTGTTTAATATTATTTTATTAATAATACTAATAATATTAACAAACTATTTACATAGGCCACATTAGCAACTAAAATAACAACTAAATCAATATTAATAACTAAAGGACTCAAAATGAAATTAAGTCAATAAAAATATAATTTTTTGATAAAATTAAGTTTTAACTTAAAAATATCATTATATTTAATTCTTATATTCTCATTTTCTTTAAGCTCCTTCTCAAGTTATAGGAAAAAAAAGCTAGTTTTTTTTTTCCTAACTTCGTTTACGTAAATGTATTAAAACTTAAACACCATGTTTGACCAACGAAACTTGGATTTTAAATCATGTACATCATAATTAGATGCAATCACTGATGTTAGGGTTCAATTGGGTTCGTACGGATGGATAACCTTGATCCGTTGGCACAAAGTGACCTCAATCATGGTTATGGGCCTCATTTCTCTCTATTCTACAACATTTTTTCTTGTTTAATTCAAGAGAAAAATAAAAAAAGTTCATTTTTAAAAACTAAAACTTGAAAACTTTTGTTTCTTCACTTATTTTCCCTGCATTTAAACAATAAAAATGCAGTATATAGTGTGGTAGATAATAATTCTAATGTGTTTCATGATGATAAGAAAAGTAAAAGTAGTTTACAGTAGATGATGAAATCAGAAATTATTATAATAAGAAAAAAGGTTCTGATAATAAGAAAATTATGGTAGGAGGAAAATGGGAATGGAAAGAATAAAGCAAAGGGACAGGGTCAGAAAAGGTAATGATTTCAAAATATAAAGTTCAAAAGAGTAATTAATAATAGAGAGGTTTTGAAGGAAATAGAGTGAGGTGGAAATCATAATGCAGAAGCAGTGGCATGATGGTGTATGATGGTATGATGGTATGATATAAATGTGCTGAATTCCATGCAGCAATTATGGCTCTTGGATCGTTTTCAAAGTCTTCCAAAATCTAATGATGGTAGAGTGAAGCATCACATACACCATGGGTCCCTTTCCCTCCAACATCTTATATTAACTTTCATTTCATTTCACCTTCCTGCCTTTGCTTTGGTTTGGTTAGGTTTTCTAATCTTTACCAAACTTTGCTTTCTCCATCAATCCTCACTTAAATTACTTAGTTTTATTGCTTTTTTTTTTTTTTTTTTAATGTTTCATACAAAAATAAATGACTTTCTATTTCTCTTTGTTAAAGAACAATTACAAAACACCTTGTTCTCACAGTCTTTTTAATATATAGTTTTTTTTTTCTTACGAAGACTAGGAAATGTCTCTGGGCTTTTCATCAAACTGGGCCTCTTTTTCTCCCTTTGGACTTATGGTCTTCAGAGAGAATACTGTTTACACCTTTATTTGCTTTTATGCTCTCTCATTTTCTGTATACTTTTATCAAATTTTTAGAATTCTATTCTTTTAAAAAAAATTCACCTATTATTTTGGTTTGAAAAACAAATATATTTAAAAAAAAAACTATACTGTTTTACTCTTGCACTTTATTTATCAGTTTGATTAATCACACACTATACATCATATTGTATTTTTCAAACTGATTAGTTAGTTAATGTATACCTTTAAAATATCATAAACAAACTTTTGTATTTTAAAAATATCAATATATGGCTTGATATAGTTTCGATCATAAAAAATTAGAAAAGTGTATAATGAAAATTAATCAATTTAAATTTTATTTTCTCTCAGATCCACTCATTTGAGTGTTATACTGTACTCCTCTTTCTTGATTATTACGCATATGCTCCTTTGCAACCATATATTTGAAAAACTGAATTCACACGTTATTTTTTATCAAAAAAACTAATTAGTTTATCTTTCGTAAATCTTGTAATTAATATATCTTAATTTTAAATAATAATTAAGAATTATCATCTAATTAATTGTTTTTAACTTGAATCTAATGCAAATATTTGTCATATTATTTCGATTTACGTGAGTGTAGAAACACTATAACATGATATTACCATTAATTGTTTGGAAAACAGCTTGTTCGTTGTTTGTGCATAATCATTCTCTGCTTTTCTCTTCCAACACATTTCGCATAATGGAGTGTAAACATACCAGACAATAACTGACCAGAACCTGGTTCTGACCTTTCACTTCCAAGAAGCAAACAGTTTTCAGGTCAAATTCCATAAAGCATGTCAAAATTATCTTTCCAAATTACTTGAACTTTTGTCATAGTTTCCAGCAAAGAAGAATGTGACATGCTCAGAGTTCTGAAGCATTACGTTGGCAACCCAGAATTTGTGTAGCTCCTTCTCCCACAGACTTGCACACTTATCGATTGCAAGCCAAACATATAGACAAGACAAGGTACCACTAATCCAAATACGTCCTATTCCTAAAGATGGGAATATCAAATAAATATTACAAAAAAGTTATATAATTAGCAATCCAGTCTTTAAAAAGTAACTAGTTTTCTTATCAGATTTGACTAGATTCAAGAAGGAATATGTCCGAGCAAAAATAGCACTTACATGAAATCACTTCCACTTCTTGTAGAACTTTTCATCACCCCACATCAACATTCTGTTCAAGGGAATGCTAACACCTCTCTCCTTCAGATGCAAGTGCCTTGGCACAATCCTCTCCTTCAAACTGAATCCAAAGTACTGAGGAAACTTCTTCAACTCCTCCAAATCCCTCTGCATTTCTTTGACAAGATAGACGTACTTTGGCCACAGATTGTTCTCGACGTCATACCCAAAAATGGCCGGCAACCTCGCACATGCTCTCAGTGCCTCCTCCTTCGAAAACCCCAACTCCTGCAAGAACTCAACCTTCGCATGCAGCTTATCCACGCGCGTGTTCAACAGGTGCGCGTTCCGCGTCGTGGGCTTGTTCAGTTCCTGGATCCCAACCTAAACAAAATTAAAAAAATAAAAATATCATTATCACGTTTATAAAATAAATAACACAGTTTTTATTTTAGTGAAAAATATTGTTTTAAATTTGTCTATTGTTTTAAAATGATTTTAATTGTTATTTTAATTTTATCTTTATCAAAAAGGAAAATATTAATTTAAAAGATGAATATGATATTACTAAATAATTAAAAACAGATATAATAAAACAAGGAAATAAAATTCTTAATTTAAGTTTTATTCTCCAACTTTTAAAACATTAGTATTAATTTTCATATTAAACTTTGATTTCTGTATAAAAAAACGTAATAAAAATGATGTATATATATAAACACCAAAAATTGATTTTAAAAGTTGGATATTAAAATCAAAATTAAAAAATGGAGATAAAAGCACCATTTACTCTAATGTGAATTATATTTTCTGAATTTGTATATGTATATATATATATACTATAATTTTAATTTTTCAAAATAAAATTAACTCTTAAATTTTTTATAGCATTATTCATTAAGTTATTATTATTATTATATATATATATATACATGTATTCTTAAATTATATATATATTTTTTCAAATTAATTGGAATCAATATATAAAAACTAAACTCCTAACATAAGTATATCCATCACATTTCCAACGTTTATAATAATTATTTAAAAAAATATAAGTATAAGATAATGCCTAATTATTAACAACATATAAAAAACAAACCATAAAACTAAATTCAATGCACTTTTATAATTTTTTTAAACGTAAAATTATTTATATTATTAAATTACAAAATCACATATTTTGATGCAAGAAAAATGTATGTAATTTAAAATAAAAATAAAATAAGAAAATGAAATCCATGTATGCGGACCTGGCGGAGAAATTGGAGCGTGGGTCGGAGGCAGTGGTCGACGTTGGAGAAGAGCAGCTTGGGGCATCGGAGGATGAGATCCCGAGACTCCGACGCGGTGGACGGAAGTTCGTCGGCCAGGAAGTTGAACACGGCGGAGACGTCTGAGGGGACGACGGCGGTGGAAAAGAGCTCAGGCGTGAGGTAGTTGAGGCGGGGGATGTCGGCGTCGGAGAAGGAGCGAGACTTGAGGAACGCGAGAGTGCGGATGATGTGGTCCACATCGTTCGGGAGAGGGAGGTCCTCCGGTTTGGTTTTGGGGTCGATAATGGTTAACGTTCGAAGGTATCGCAGGTTTTCGCGGTACCTCGTTTGGAACTTTATGTAACCGCTGGTGTTGGGGACGCGGTTTGATTTGTGTGAGTATGAAGATACTATTGGCAGATGGAGAGAGTGACGGAGGAGCATTTCTGTTTGGGGTTTGCAGCAAATGTAATGTAAGTGACGATGATAAGGGAAATGGATAATCTCGCGTCTTGTCTCTTTTTCACTGACTTCACATTTTTTTTTTTAACTCACTCCAGAGAATCAAAATATCAAATTCTACGGCTGAAGTATAAATATCTTCGAAAGCAGCCATTGATTTAAATTATCAATAAAAGAAAAATAATTTACTTTTTTCCTTGAACACTCTTTAAACTATCTATTACTTTATCTTTTACCATTCTCTACACTGTATTCTATAGCCACGTATTGTCATTTTATTTTATGTAGTAACCTGGTATTAGAGTTAAAGTTTAACATTTTTTATTATTGTCATGGGTCAAAAATTATCCTTTAATTGGATCAAAAATACCCTTTACCTGATCCAGCAGACTTCGTTAGAAAAAATGTGTTAAAAATCTCACATCGCCTACCTTATATAATTTGATATGGTTTAAATTCAGGTTAAACTACTCCAACAAATTAGTTTTATGGTAGAACCTTAACGCCCATTTTCTTTTTAAGCTCTCATCATATTAAGGCTACTATATTATTTAAAAAAACCAAGTTTAAACTCTTCTAAAATTGGGGATAAATAGGCCTGACACTTCTCAGTATAAAAGTAATACATCATCATAATTCATCAACAAGACATTTAGTTCATATGAGATCTTACTCCGTATTCGACGAGCAACATGTTAATTTTATTATCTTAATTTACCAAAATAAGGTGACTAGACGGAGGCAAACCTCCAGTAAACATCATACAACAAGGCTTTTAGCTCTTGCTAGGGATCTTTTTAACATGTTACTCTCCTTGAAATGAAAAATATCTGTAATTTATAAGCTATTTCGACAAGCCACATGAGATTGGAATTCATAAAATACCTCAATTTCATTTCAAGGAGCCTATTAAATTATCCCAGAAAAAAAATCACGGGACACTGTTGCATCCAACTGATGCTTGAAAACTGCTTCCATAACAACTTAAGAACATTGAACATCTTGAGTTATTAGATTCAAGAATTGGCCAAACAATTGTCTTATCATAAAATGTATATTTTCTTGATTGCAATTTGCAAAAGCATAGGGTACCCCAAAATAACAGCTACAAAGTACATATGACCCGACCAGATCCGGGCAGTTGGAAATAATGTGTCAAGTGCAGTGAGCGCATGCAAATTATAAAATAACTGCCACTTATGACGACCATTTTTGTGCGAAATGCAACATCCTCATAAACCCCTGTCATATTGCAGCAGAATATGCAAAATGTCAGGACAAATAGAAGCAACACACAATCCTATAAAATGTGAACATCACAATGACGGAAGGGGTAAGCGTTTAAGCAAAGGGAACGACGTGGAATAAAATGCAGAGGCTAAATGATATAATATTATAATATGCCTTTGATCAAATTCAAACGTTAGTTTTTCCTAATTCCCTCACTTGAGCATCCAAAGCGTATAAACCCAGGAAGCCTCAATAAAAGTGGGAACAAGATAGGTCATTGGCTTCTAAATAACAAGATTTTACTTATCAAAATAAAGGTCTCATGCACCCACCAATATTATTTATTGAATGCCACATACATAATAACATTTCCAGTTCAAAGGCACTAACTTGATAAGCCCACAAGACATGGTAAAATCCATCTTATTGAGATTTTTATATGATGAGATAAAGCCATTATGTTGTAAATAGTGGCCCTTAATAATCCTTTTTAGCAAGGGTTATGTATATAAGAGCTAAATACCTGACTTTCTTGATCATAATGGCCTTTAGTTTCTTAGCAAGATCCTCAGACCGAAGCCTTCGCTCCAAGTTCTTTTGGGCTAAAATACGCTTCTCAGAGTTTTTTAAATGAAATCTTTGTTCCTGCTTTATCATTCTCTCAATCCCACTTCCTTGCATCTTATGCTGCATCAATGCCAATGCCGCTTCCAAGTTCCCATGTACGACCTTTACTCGAATGCATCTGCATTGCTGAAGCTGCTGCTTCATTTGGTGATGCCCAATATTGAAGGGTTCAGTTGTGAGACCTGAACTTCTGAATAAGCTTGATAACTGCCTCGCCACTGAGTTCATATCTAGGAGACAAGAATGTGTCTACTGCTACGACTTTTTTGAGGACTAGTAATAAATAGGGAGAAAAAAAAATTTAAAAAACAAAATCTAGCTGTATTGATGTTGCGTCATGCATAAAAAAATGACATCAATCATATTTTTTCACTTTTTTATAAATTCATTGGAACTTGGATATCTTGTCGTTAGGGGTGTCTACAAGCTGGTTTGATTCAGTTTTACAGGAGAAAAATCTCAATCAATACATTCGGAGTGGTTTGGTTTCCTAAGTAAAAGAAGACCAGAGAACAAAGATCAATTATGAACAATATACTCTACTTCTGAGGATCTAGATCTTTCAAATGACAGCACTCGTCCTAGCCATTAAGGATCAGGTCAGCAAATATAAATTATGTAAAGTACATAGGCACAATTCATTCACAGTTTCCAAATCACATAATGTTTGAGAATTTTCATATTGGAGAAGGAAACACCAAACACTTCGGCCTAAGCCTAACGGAAATGAGAGTAACAACGAAGTGACAAGATGGGTGCTCCGGGCACCCCCATTTAGAAAGAAGGGTCGAAGGTTTTGGGCCCACGCCTTCTATGTGCTCAGGGCGGGCGGCGCGAACTCTGACTCGATCCGAGTATTCAATCCCATCGCTGACATGCTCAGTTGACTTAAATAATCGTAATTTTCTCAACAGAACTTTGTTCAAATACCCATTACATTTGGCTACAAATCGGTATTATTATTCCCCTAAAGTGCAATGGGAACATGTTGAAAATATATTGATTCAATAATCATATTATCCTGGTGTATTCTAGTTTAAGACAAAGAGAAAACAATCAAAAGCAGTTTCCACAACAAAACGCACCACCCACTACGCTATCACTCACAAAAACCACAAATAACCTAATCACAGAACAATATTATCACTGCAGCGAATGGAATTAGCTCTAAAATTATATAGAAAAGAAAGGAGAAACGAGCAGATGTCGAAGAATTTACCTCTGCCGTCTCGTTGGAGGAAGCAACCTCGCCGCAGATGGGACTTCGAAACTGATGTTCTCAGTTAACACAAAGAAAGATTTTCAAAATTAAGGGTTAAATCCATATATATTATTTAATATATTATATCCCTTTGTTCAGACTTTATAAAAAATATTTATTTTGTTTTTAATTTTCAAAAATAATATATTTATAATTTTAATAAAGTTTAAACATTATTTTTATTAAATAATAGATTAATTTTTTTTCATAATGTATATATATATATATATATATATATATATATATATATATATTATATTGAAGACTAATAGCATATCTGTAAGTGATTTATTCATTTTCTTTCACGCATATAAATATTTATTTTTAACTCAACACTATCTTTTAACTGATAAATTGAACGTTAATTCCTTTCACGTAAAAAATCACCTCACAAGGTTGTTTTCTATTTACGGTTAAATGTTTTGGATTTTGTTTATTTCACGTTAAATATAACAAAACATCAAATATTAATAATATTTAATTATTAAAATAAAAATACTAATATTTTTTCTTTTATTCAATTTTTTAATACTTAATTTAAATAATATAATAAAATCGGATTAATGTTGAAAACCCATTGGATTTGCGATGCTTAACTATACTAAACTCTGGACTTCTTTAGGTTATTACGGGTGATAATGGATAAAGTAAAACCTTAATAACTTGGATTATCATCAAAAGTGATTGATTTCCTGTTAGAACAAAATTTGTTGCATCAAAATTTATAAATACCATCCTGAATGCACTTTAGGCTGCCGAATAATTTGGGTTAAGAATATTGCATGAAATCAAAATATGCTAGTTTGTCTTCAGCTTTTCCTTATCAACAACATATCTCCTTTCTACAAGATCACAAGAGATTGGACACCTTCAAATTTGATTTATCAAACAACATTTTCTCTACTTCAGAAAGACGAGCTTTGAAATCCCTTACCTCATGATCCCAGTCTGGTATATTATCTCTCATCCTTCCCTGCCTTTCTTGGAGTTTAGAGTTCTCTCTTTTCTGATAGTTAAATTTATTTTTCAAGAACCATTGTTCTTCTGAGCCAAGTCAAGCTGTTTCTGCAATTGCTGAATAATTTCAAATGTTTTAGTAACCCCAAATTTCAAAGAAACAATATGCATTTCTGAAAACTGAAGTTTTCATTGGTCGTCTTTATCTCCTCCCCAAGTTTCTTCGGAGGATTCCTCTCTCATGCTGACCCCTTCAACACCACCCTTCAAATTTGTTGATTCCATTGACATGTATATTTTAAGTTCAATCTTCAGCTTACTAATCTCCCTTCTGAAAGCCTCAACTTCTCATTCACATTCCTTAATTCCTGTTCATATGCACTGATCTTGGCACAGAATGTTCAGACCATTCTTACCACGTTCCTCCTCGTGCACAAAGCTGGATATCTTTTCTTTTCCGTCAGGTGGTATCTCAATCTCCAATTGGTCACCTTTCTGTTGATACTATTATGATCATTTTCATTCCCAAAGAAGCCTGAAGACTATTCATAGATAAACTATCATCATAGTAATCCTCGTTAAATCCTGTCAAAGTAGAAGTACTATCTCCATCCTTTTGACATACATCAAAACTATTCACATTCTCACCAGAACCAAGAAAGACATTGAACCTGAGACACGGTTGGTGGATATGCAATGCCCCATCTTCCTAGGAGATGGAGACGACATTGAAGAAGGTGGCTCACAATCTGAAACACCAGAAGCTTGTGATTGAAGATCACACGGTGTGGTGTTGTGATCATAACAGTCAACAAAAGATGCTTGTAATCTTCATACTTCCTGATCCAGAATGATGCTTGTCATATTTGCTTGCCTTGGTGCTGAGATCAGAAAACCATGGGCAGCAAAAACTCTGCCCAAGCTCCGAATACTCTGACTCAATGCAGATGCACCAATCCTCTTTCTAAAATAAAGCACAGCACAGTACACAAAACAATATTTATGCTATTAGTATCACCCATACAAAAAATATAGTAAAGCATAAAAAGGTTGGACTAAAATTAACCATGGCACCAATTTAAAATCCATTTAGTGTCAAACAGGGATCATGAATGTAAAATAATCATAAAGAACTCGAATGCTTTTTGCACATTATATTTCTATTGTGTATCTGGAGAGAGGTAAGGAAGGAAATAATGTATCTTTAATACTTACATAAATCCTATGATTTGTGTTCTCAAAAACTCGCAGCTCAACATCACACATCATCTGCACAGAAGGCCTAAACATTATCTGCGAGCCAGTTTTGTTATACCTGTGCAGGTAAGGCTGATTTTCGTAACACCATACCTTCCACTTCCAAGTTCCTTAACTGCCTGAAATGGTGATTCTACTGAGACACACAACGGTCTCCTGGTTCAATGTTGTACAAACTCAGCTCAGTAATTGATTTTCTGTCTCACAGGAACCACAGTTAATGTTTGTCAGACTCTGAAAATTGTAGGTGAAAATACATGTGTTCTACTGGAGAATTCCTATGTAAATATTGTTAATTAAAATTGAATACAGCAGATTTCGACCCACAAAATAAGCTAAACTTTCATATACAAATATTCTAAAGCACGTCTATCATAATAAGAAACAGTATAACAGATTCACAATTATTTCAGTGGCTTAAGTTTGCTGACTTGCAACATATATTTATCCAATAGTAATTAAGAGAAGAATAACAGATTTACAACGGAAGCATTATATATGTCCAGATTATTTGTCATTTCCCTTGACAATGAGTCTATGCTTCCTAGAACACCTAGCACTCTGGAATCTATTGTTAATTTGTGAACTACGTTGCCCATATTTGTCAACAAGGCAGAGTCACATAAGTTATTAGCAATCCAGGGTAAATACTTGTAACAACTATAATAATACAACTCTAACCTTTATATCAAGCAAGTTATGATAAGCTGAACAGGCATTATTCGTAGAAAGTTGAAAGAGTAATGTGGATCAACAAACACCAAGGGCTATCCGCATGTAAGATGCATCTTGCAAGACAAAACATTGACCCAAAAACTTTGATGTAATATTCCAATTTTCAAGGCTTTTATATTGGTTGGATGTTTAGCAAAAATCCCAAAAACTCAACCAATGCAAAGCTACTCAAAGCATGGTGATGGAAATGGCAGGATGATGCATTAACATTGGGTAGGCAACAACAAACAGTAATGGCAAATGACAGTGATGCATTCAACCATGGCATAGTCACTCTGAATGAACTTTTAGGGTTCTAAAATTTAAGAATGGACATGAATTGGAATATTGAAACCTTGATGAGGTTACTTTTGTCCAAATAATTTTCAAAACTCCAGATTCCCAAAGACTGAAGAAGAGAGGCACTTGAAATTAGCTTCTAAATAAGCTCTTTTAAGATCTTCAAAAGCTACAAATTCATGTATGAATGATGATATAAACACTTAATTTGGTTGAGAAGCCCAAAGAATATCTTATGAGCTGTATACTACGGAACAAAATTACAAATACACGACAACTTACGAATTCCGAGTCATAAGTTACTTGTCAGGATTGTGGACATTCTATAATTTTTCAGAAGGAAATGCTGGTGTTGTATCTTCTACAGGAAAGAACTCATTTGTTCATATCTCTGAGCTTTCTCTAGTTGACCATTGCGAGTAAGTAGTTGCACCAAAATAGCAAAGTGTTCCTTAGATGCTTCAATTTTATATTTAGGCATTAAATTGAAGATTCTACAAGCATCATCAACAAATCCAGCTCTGTCACATATAGATAGAATGGCTGCAAAAGTGAAGTGATTTGGAGAAGATCTCATGTCATAAAAAAGGTTAATTGCATCCTGATGCAATTCATTATATCCATACGCCTTTATAAGAGCAGTCCATGTTATAGAATCTTTAACGGACACTGTGTCAAACACCGACTTAGCCTTGTTAACATCTCCAAATGAGCCATACGCATTGATAAGTTCTGCAGAAACAAAAGGAACTGAAGCACGGTCCCTTTTCAAGATCTGCCCATGAATCTCCTTCCCAAGCTTTACAAGTTTTAGTTCACCACAAACACTCAACATCCTAGCTATAGCAACAGAATCAGGCCTGTACTTTGACAATTGCATTGACCTCATCACACCAAGTGCTTCACACAGATGCCCATTTGTTATATACGAATCAATCATTGCCGTCCATGAAATCACATTCATTTGTTCCATATTATCAAATAATCTTCTAGAATACTCAACAACACCACACTTAGAGTACATCATCATCAATTGAGAAGTTATAGACACATTAGGCAGAAACCAATGTTTCAAAGCATAAGCATGAATCTGCCTCCCTTGTTCCAGAGCCCTCAACTGTGCACAAACTGGAAGAACAGTCGCAATTGTCACCACATCAGGCCTGAACCCTTCTTGCTGCATCCAAATCGTGGACCTCAGTGCCTGCTCTAGTTTTCCATTCACAGCATACCCCGCCATCAGAGCCGTCCAACAAACCACATTCCTCTCTTTCGAACCATAAAAAACCCGTCTCGCTGAAATCATGTCCCCACACTTGCAATACATATCAATCAAAGCAGACTGAACCGGAACCTGCCTAGAGTACGATTTCGTTTTCAAAACATAAGCATGAAACTCCTGACCCAACCTCCTTGCACAAACCTCCCCAATCACAGGAACAGCAATTGCAATCACAACCGAATTCGGTTTCACTCCCTCCTCCACCATCCACCTCACACCGTCCAACACCTCCCTCTGCATCCGATTGTGTGCAAACCCAGAAAGCATCGTCCCCCACGCGACAACATCCCTCTCGGAAATTTCCTCAAACACACGGCAAGCAAGCCTAACCTTTCCACACTTGAAGTACATATCAATCAAACTGGTTCTAAGAATGTAGTTATCCACAAATCCATTCTTAATCAAAAGCGCATGGGTCTTCAAGCCTTCCGAAAACGCCGATGCGCCGGCCAAGCTCTTGATCACACTGGAGAAACTGTACACATTGAGCTGAACCCCCAATGCCCTCATCTCGGCATAAGTCTTAAGCACATCAATGTACCGTCTTTCCCCAGAAACCACAGTCCCTCTGAGCAAAGCGTTCCAGGGGTACACACTCTCGCAGGGCAATCCATCAAACAGTTTCTGCGCCTCTTCCAACGACCCACACGAGGTGTACATTTGAACCAACTTTGTCCGCAAGAAAACGTTGTCTTCGAGTCCATTGATTCTGATATGGATGTGAATTTCCCTCCCTTGTGGCAATGACTTGGTACGTATGCAAGCGGCGATGAGAGAAGAGAAAGTTGTGGCATCCACGGGAATGCCACGTTGGTCCACGTAGTCCAAGATGGTGAGAGCTTCCTTGAGCTTGTTCTGGCGAGCGAAACGCTTGATGTCTTTGTAGATGAAGATTGGGTTTTTGTTGTGGAGGGGTAAGGAGCACGGAAACGCGTCCTTTTCAGTGAAGGGTTTTACCCTCTTGGTCCTATGCTTTCTGGGGGTGGTGAATCTGGGAGGCCTTGTGTGGTGGGTTTTGGAAGGTCTAAAGCTGTAGACTTGGAGAATGTTGGGTGTTGGGTTTGGAGGGAAACCCAGAAAGATAGATGAAACCGAATTTTCCATGGCTAACTATCAAAGGGAATGGATATTTTGTGTTTGAAGCATATCTTTTGGCAGAACATAATAAATCAGATATTTTTCTAAAGCAAGAGATTGTAGACACGCACAGATTCTCTCACTCACAGATATTTACGGGTTAGGTCTGGAACTGTATGTAGTTAATATCGAAAAACAACAATCGAGTTTTACGGGTTAAGTTTATATATATATATATATATATATATATATATATCAACTTGGCTCAAGTTAAATTAACAGAGAAAGTTACAAGTCTATTTCCCCCTTACTCTATATCTTATTAGTTTTCTGTGAGACATTTTTTGAGCAAAAATCTCATATTTTTTTATCTTCCAACTTTCACTTCAAGTGTCATGGCAAACTATGGAACCAAACAGAGAATCTCCTCACCATCACCACCATCCACTGACCCTCATGAACCAGAACCAAAAGGGCCTCAAGAAAATTTCTACAGAAACTTCAGAAGCTACTGCCCCATCAACATACCTTCAACATCGGAAGCTGCAGGAGTCCGCATCATGAGAAACATAGGGAGTTTTGGCTTGTACTATACACTCTTTGTGTGGATCATACTCTTCATAACCCTCATCCCTATGCGTAAGGTGTCTTTGATTCTGTTGGTGATCATGACCTATGTGACAACCATTTACTGTTTAATTCTGAGGGCGTTTCCCAACTCTGTTGTGCTTCACAAAATCATAGATCAAAGAGTTGTGTTGGCTTTGCTGGCAGTGGCAACTGCAGTGCAGCTGATTTTGACCGAGGCAGGTATTCATCTTGCAGTGACTTTGACTTGCACTGTGCCTGTAGTTTTGGTTCATGCTGTTTTGTGGGGTAGTTTTGATGCCTTTGACGTTGAGAATGTTTCTGGTAAAGAAGAACTGGCTCCTCTCACTGGCCTTGATGAAAGTGTTGCTGAGAATTATTCTGATGCTGTTTAAATTTTTGTGGCCTCACTCCTCACTATTATTATGTAGTTCTCTCTTGTTGTTTCTTTCATAAACATGATGTTTTGGACTTTTGGGAAGGAGAATTTATTATGCAGTTACCATTTGCTTGATTTATTTTGTTTTTTGAGAGGAAATGGAAGAATTTGAATGGATTGCAAATCACCAGCTCGTAGGAGAAGATTCTTTAATCAACAAAGTCATGTTGAACTTCTGAAAAATAGTTAATTAATAACATGTTAACTTACAAAAATTTGAAAGAAAATTATTAACCTGTAGGTAATATTAGCAGACTCTTCCTTTTCTAATTAGTGATTACTTGATTCATTTCATTGGTTAAAAGTTCATCTCTTATTATCCCATCTCAAATTCACATCTTTCATTAATATTGTAACGTTTAAGTTATCAAATATTGGCTATCATAAACGTTAATTACTTATTATGCTTCAAAAGGTTATAAATGTTTTTTTCTTACCAAACTTTAATAATTTTAAGATTGAAATTATTTTTTTATAAATGCTTCTCAACTTTTTTTTTTCTGATGCACATATATTTCTCATGGAAAAAATGTCATTCCATTAATTATTATTTCAGTGAAAAAAGTTTAAGACTATAAAAGTACTAGTTAAAATCAACAATAATTTCAATAATAAAATCTGTTAACTTAATATAAATAGTATCACAGACAAATTTGTCTGTTATTCAGTAACAGACGTGGCAGAAAAAAAAAAGCATCAAGAACTCCTATTACCAAAAAACTTACCATAACACAACACTGCATGCCAAGGCACCAAGAACTCATCACTTGGCTCTTCCATCTTGTTTTGTGCATCTCCAGGAAGCAAAAAGCACCAGCAAGAGAAGAACAAGAAGGAGCAAAGCAAAACCAAGAAACCCTAAACATGCAAACAAGATGCCACTCATTCTAAAAATGCCACATGTGACATCAAACCCTGATGCTGCAGCAGCCAACAAAGATAAACAGTAGAGAAGAGCGATGCACAGCATAGAGATGATAGGCACTCTGAAAGCCAAAGACCAAACCACCACTACTGTGTACACAAAACTCACCACGAACATTCCACTCCATAATATGGCTGGCAAGAGCCCACTAGAGGCTTGCCAAAGACTTAATGTTAGTGTCTTTGAGTTGTTTGTTGAGCTTATTGTGGATTTGGATATGTTCTCAAAAGGGTTACCCAAAGCAGATAAAAGTGCTGCTTGAACTCCATACAACTTCACTGCTAGTGCAGCACGATGTTCTTGTGGACAAATTATCTCTGTTGAACAGAACTGTAAGAATGTCTTGCACATGGAAGCACTTATGTGAGAATCATTTTTTGTTAATCCTCCCTCCACGTTGATTTTTATCACATGGGAAGAGGAAGAAGACATTGCACATTCCTTGTTTTTCTGCCCATATTAGAAAGAATTACTCAAATGTTTTATCTTACAAATTGAGCAAGCAAATTAATCAGAAACTAACCTTGTCAATGTGGCTGCGTTTCTTTTTCCGAATTTTGGTCAGTATGTACTTAGAGTCATTGTTGTTGGGTTTTTGAATTGACTTTTCAAGCTCCTTTTGGTCTTTTTCCTCGTCGCTTTGTGTGCTCCACTCTTCTTCATCTTCCTCATCAATAATATAGGCTTTATTGTTAAGGAATTTTTTATCAATCTGCATGTACATGTGGAGTCAAAAGTCATATGCAGTTTATAGTGTTTTCAGCATCCAAAGTTATATGTGTAAATCAAAAGATACTAAAATGAAATACTGAAGATAATGGTGGTGATCTTACCTCATATATACTGCCATTTCTCAAGTACGCAATTGTTCTCAGTAAATCCTTTTTTGTAGGGTACTTCTGATGCAAAAACGAAAGATGTACATATATGTTATAAAGGAGGGAAGGGGAAGAAAAACAAAGAAAACCACAAAACAAAACAGAGATGATGGTAATGGTAACATTCATAAGAAAGAAGAAAAGATCAGGGTAAGATTGTTTTAGGCCTTTTGATTTTTGGACAAAAATAGTCTAAAATGATAATTTTGATGTTAGTATTTGTTGTAAATAAATGAATTTTACTACTACTTAGTTTAGTGTCATAAGTTTCACAGGATAGAGACAAAGTTCATCCTAAGCATATGATTAAATCATCTTTTTCTAAGATGTATGAACTAAATGAAATTTGAACAAAATTTGAAATATCTAAAACAAGCTTGGATTTAAGTTAAAAGAACTAAGTACTTTTATTCCAGAAACAACAATGTTTTCTTTTTTATATCAGAATTCACAGAAGTATTTTTATAAATTTAAACCAAACATATACTAACTCTTTCATACCTCAATTTGTTTATCTGGAATTCTCCCTGCAGCTGAACCTCGGCGCGATTTCCTATATATGATTGGATTTGGTTGTCTTGCCTTTGTTGTAATTTTGAGATTTGCAACATAAATTTAAAAAGACCAGTTAAAAAAAGTCAACTTTTAATGGGAAGCAAGGTTCATACAAACTATTAACTTGCAGAAAGCATAAATTTTAGTTAACAAAATTCGATCAAATTCAACTCTGAGAGAAAGCAAGGTGCACAGAATACTTACAGGTTTTCTTGGAAGCAAGAAGTTCTTGTTCACATTGTTCTCTCTGGTCTGTTCTGGAACTGAAGAAATACTCAAAGAATCCATGATCATACAAGAGGATTGCCAAGATGAAAATGCAAAATATTTTACTTCCAACTTCCAAGATCACACCAAAATTGTCAACTACTTTGTGAGGTCATGAAATTACATAGAAACTTCAAACCGTTTTGTCAATGTTAGTTGTGGAATTATTATGTAATTAGCTAACTCATGGATTGAAACTTGGAAGCTTCTTCCACCTATGCTCTGTTTCTTTTTCAACCACAATTTATGGGTTTTCAAATGTGAACACCAAATTTTTGCTAGATGATTTTAATTTTAGTGTATATACTTTTTATCGGTTTGATAATGACATTGGTTTTTTGTTAATAAATTTAACAATATAATTTTACTTGCATGATAGGGACCTGTATTTAGATGTGAAAACAGAAATATAAGAAAGAAAAGAATACTATTCATATCTTTACCATTTAATATTGACAAAATTGACGATCAACCTATGATTATGGGTGACCCATCTATAGTCTTGGGACGATTGCCAATTTCAAATTGGCTTATGTACAATTTTGAGTTCAAACAAATAAAAAAAAAATATTGATTTGAATTTGTCAACTTTTCTAGTCATTGCTTGAATATTTTTTATTTGTTCTTAAAGTTCGAATCATGTAATGGTCTCTCACAATTGAATCTTCTATTATGTGTTGATAGTTTTAGAATAATTGGTTTTGAATTGAATGAAAAAAAAATGCAAAACAATTAACTTTGGTGACAAGTTTTTTTAGCAAACTAATCAAATTCATGTAAATATTTGTTAAATTTTGAATTGAAAGAACTATTTGAATTTATGATGTTGTTGTTGATAGATTGCAAGATGTGGAGAACTCGAATTCTATTATGATTTTTAGCTTATACTATCACCACATGGACTACTTACTCAAATTTTATGTTTCGAATTGCATGATTATAAGTTATTCAATAGCATATTTAATACATATGAATATATTCCTATTATTCAAATTTGATAAAATTATTTTATAATTTTTTAAAACATTAAATAGTTCAAAATCAAGCACATATTTTCGTTATTTTTGTTTCTGAAAACAAGAAAATAAATACTAAGTTCAAAAAATAAAAGACTTTTTCTTAAACTATATAAGTTCTTAAAACTATATAACTCCTTATTTTTTAAAAATATCAAAATTCAAAATCTCACTTGAATCAATTAAAAGAAAAAAGGTTATAAGTAGACAGAGGTTATAACTATGAACATTTTTCCTTTTAATTTGCAATAATCCTCACAACTTCTTTGCTATGGCAATTTAAAACTATGAAGTGAACTATGTACACACCAAAGATCAAACATTAAACATTCTCTACACCCTTGGCTCCACATCTACATCTATTATGGCAAGCAAGAGGAGTCATTTCTTTGGGACAAGAATCATCCTCAACCTCAAAGGAATGGTGACTAACCCACAAAACTGCATGCACCAAAACCAAAGGCACAGCACAAGCCAAAGTAACAGCAAGATGAATCCCTGCCTCGGTCAAAATCAGCTGCCCTACTGTTGCAAACATTAGCAAAGCCAACACAAACCTTTTGTCTAAGCTTCTATGAAGGAAAGCAGATTTGGGGTGTGCCCTTAGAAGTAAACAGTAAATGGCTGTCACATAGGTCATGATGACAAACAAAATCAATGACACCTTACGGTGAGGAATGAGGACAATGAAGAGAATGATCCACACAAAGAGTGTGTAGTATAAGCCAAGGTTTTCCAAGTTTCTGATGACACGAAGTGCTGCAGCTTCTGAAGTCAAGGGCATGTTGAAGGGCCAGTATATTTTGAAATCAGTGTACAACTTTTCGTGATGCCCTTTTGGTTCATAAGTGTCTAAGGTGGACGATGAAGGTGTGGTGGTGGTGGAGGGTGTTCTTTGTGTAGTTCCAAAGTTTGCCATAAGATTTGAAGTGGAGTTTGGAGGATCACAGAATGGCTCAATTGAGATATCTCTTCTGGTGAACCACAAACTAGTGAAGTTTGTTGCAAATGTACTACAGAAACTGGAAGGGTAGAAGTATGATGGGTACATGTTGTGAAATTGAACGAAATTCATATACGTATATAGAAGCTTAAGTCTTTCGAATTTATTTTCTAGTCCAGGACAAAACCTTTTACCATAAAGACTTGGAGAATATCATCAAGGAAATTTCCTAAAGAAATGAACAATATTAGGAAGCTTCTTTGTTGTTTCTAATGTTGCTCTCTGAGTTTAACTTTTTTGGGCCCATTTGACTGTGTCCATCCAAAGTTGCACGTAATTAAGAAACCGTTGTTCTTGATATACAATTTAAACAAAAAAAAGGGATTAAAATAATGTATCTTTGAGATGAATGAACTTGGATTTAGTGATCATTAACCTTAGTTTTTACGTGTTAATGTATGTTGGACTGTTTAGTTTAAAATCAAACGTTAAAAAAGGAAAAAAGTACATTTGAAGATTAAATTTTAAAATATAGAAACTAAAACTATGTTTAATAACTAAATGCTTCATTCAAAATTTGAAATATGCTAATATAGCTAGCTAGCTTCATCTGAATTCAATTCAGTTCCAAGGTCAAGGCAAATGTCTCATTTAACATCGTCAAGGGAGAGTAATATATGTGGATTTCAACTCAGTATCACTGCGACTAAATCATCATATATGATCCCTAATAATGAATGGTACATACAAAACAAGAACAAGTTTCTAATGGGATCAACAATCAGTTTTGACGAAACTTTGGCCACACTGTAATTACTCCTAGTCTCATCTCCTCGAAACGGTACCTGCACAGCACAATACAAACAAATGAAACAACATAAAATAAGAATCAAAGCAAACCTCATTCTTAGAGACACACAATGGCATCTCATGCACTAGGCTACACTTGTTTTTACTTGTTTTCAATGTTCTTAAACATAGGTAAGAGGATGAGAAGGATGCCGTAAAGAAAAAAAACTGCATGAGGAGATGTTCCCACCTGTTTTCATTGAGGAAACTTCTGACAGCTGTAGGAAGAGCAGCCTGTCCCCGACTGTGATTACCAACGCCTGTATAAATGCTGATTGTTAATTCTGATTGTTGATTCCAAGTATGGATACAGGTTTGCTAAATGAGTAATTAAAATCCTATTTTGTATTCAAGAAAACTGATAAATTTTCAATAAAAAAACAGATGCATTGAATGGTGCAAGGGAAGCAACAAGTATGATAACTGGAGATTTGGAGAATAAGTAGGAAAAGAATACCAAAGAAGATGTTCCTTAGAAAAGATGTTCCTTTTCTATAATTTTCCCAAAGAGACAACAAGTAAAAGAGAATTATCAACAGAAAGAAGTCATGGATAAGATTAGTTGCATGCAAAATGAGTAGTACTTTCACCTTTAAAATTGTTAGAATTCCATGATTAATTTTTAGGGAAAAAATAAATAAATTACTAATCTTAACAGATGATTACATTATGAATAAGGAAAGTCTTAAAAGAGATAAATTGTCAGCTTACCCTGGATTTAGAAACATATGAAAGTAAGGTGATTACTTGAAGAATATGACATGCTGACATATCTTCCAAATGTTATCAATAACTTACAAGAGAAGTTGAAAAATCTGAAATAAATGGCTGACCAACAGAAAGAAAAAGGATAACAAAAACAATGAAAGAATGTTTATTTGCATGACTAATGGAAGGGTTAGCTAGATTTTGAACAATGTTTGCTTCAATTAAATGGAAACTAACAAACACTAACAAATTGTAATTTTATGTTGGAATATACATGCAACAAAACTGTTGAAAGAGAATAAATGGTATAGCAGATGGAGGCATATAGAAAATAAAATGCTACCCATGTTAGTTGAAGTGCACACTAGCCTACGCATATCTTAACAAAATGAACTTCTCTAGAGGCAGAATAACCTATACAAGTATAAACATAGACTTTATATGATATCCTTGGTCAAAAAGAAGCCAACATACCTGTTATGACATGTAATGCTAATGGTCTAAGCCGTAATGGAGCTTTTATATCCAATTTTTCACTGTTGATTAGAGTAGAATGTCTTAGTCCATTTTGTTTCACTCCATTTGAAGTGACTGAACTCTTTGAGAAGCCTTGGCTTTCAACTCTGTAGAGATGTTCTTGCAATGCTTGAATAGCTTCTGTTGCATGAAGACCATGCAAATCAAGTCTCCAAATATCATTTTCATCATTCCTGATACTTAAAATTTTTCTGGCTGCATCAGAATTTAGTTCTTCAGCAGTACGCCACTCCACTTGAGCTTTCATCGAATGATGTTGAGCAGACAAATGATCACCTCTTACAAAAGCACTAGAAGCTGCCCTAGAATGTCGTGATGCTGACCTGTTAAAACCATATTACTATTTACTGACATAAAGAAAACAGAATGCGCCACCGTGGAAGTTAATTCATTACTCACTGCTGTTTTTATTGTAAATGATTAAGGTTAAGGAGATCTGTTAATTCATTACTTAAGAGTAGTTGGACTTTTGAGGCCAAAGACTTCATAGGTGTATCAGATAAACAATACAGGAACTTGTTCAAATTATCAACTAAATTACAATCTGCTCGATTTGGAGATTCTTGATAAGGTCAAACTAAGTCAAGCATTGATCAATATGTTTCACTGCATGTAGATCCCATCTTCACTACATGTGTTTAACTATGTCATCTTATTAAAAATAGACAACAGAAGAAAAAACATACATTCAAAGATAAATAAGTATATATATTACATGAGGGGGAAAAAAGGCTGATAAATAAATAACCATACAAAACAAACACGAAAAAGCACTTGAGACATAACATCTAACACTTTCTAGAAATAATACATGTGTTAGAATTCGTACCTCATTGTCCTCAATGCGTCCTTTCGATTGCTGATGTAAATATCATCATCCTCCCATTCAGGCTCAAAAGGAACAGAATTCAAGAGGTTCATTTTGCTTCTCATGTTATCAACACCATAAAACTTTTGAAATAGGGAAGCATTTCTATCCTCCAAGTCTTTATCATTGTCTTGGAGGTTATTATCAAAGGGAATATGATCCTTGACCTTTTCCAAAGTAAGACTTCCATTAGTTTTATTCTTACAGGGGGTATCATCTGTAGTAGTTGATCTAGGATCGCATGAAACTTTGTATTCTTCAAAATTCACTGCAGAGGCCATTGTTTCCAATAAAGCTGAGGCCTTACCAACATTGTTATTAACTGCAGCCAAGATATCGTCTATCAAATTATGTTCAGCCCAAGGATTCTGCTCTCTAAGCTTTTTGATAGCTAAATTAACATCTTCCTGAGAAGTAGCCCCATGATATCTTTCATCTGAATCAGAACCAGAGACTGCCTTTTTGCTATTCAAATCCTCTTTCAACGGGGGGAAATTTTTAGTTGGCAGAAGTACTGAAGAGAAAGGCTTTGAAGGAACATGTTTCTTCTTGACTATATGATCAGAAGTGCCTATAGCTGGGAAATGATCTTTGTCAACTTCAGATTCAAGATTGTTGTTCTTTCTCTGCTTGAGATCAAAAGCTGTCCAACCAGAGGATTGACCATTAGCCCACGACATCTTCTTAAGGGCAGATCTGGCTGAAGCAGTCATCTTGGTCTTACCATAATCTAAAATCACTTCGCAATATCTGTGTCTGATGACTTATGCAGATATAGAACTCAGAAAGCCAAAATGTTGAGACCTTGCTTGCAAAGTCAATAACTATAAGCACTAAAGCACCATTCCATGCATGATGCACCAGTATGTTAGATAATCACGTTATAAGATATAGATAAAAACATGATATGATAAATTTTGAAACCATAAAATATAGTTTTAAAATGGCTCGATTTAAAATTCTGGTGCGTTATCTTATTTGCATTTTAAGTCATGCTTAGAAAAACTCTCTATAAGTGCTTATAGAAAAATAAATCAGATAGTAAAATGAATTAAGCTTCTCCTATAAGTTACAATCAACTTATGCATCTTAATTTTTGAAGATGTTAGATCATAGAGCTTTTGTAAAAGTATATTATGTAAGGTCATTTTTATTTAAGAAAGAAACTCAATTCAATTATCATTTTTATTTTCTTCTCTTCTAAGCAGTAATAGAGAAGATTGTGCAAGAAGACCTTAAACTTATATTATGACATAACTACTTGCGTAAGTATTTGGGATATCTTATAAAAACAGCTTAAGCAACTTACTTCAATAAATAAGTAGAACAGCTTGGAAAACAATGCACGATTCATATAATAACAATTTAAACTTACTTCCTCTTCCATTATATCAATATAGATTCAAGCTTACAAGATAACAACTTACTTATCCAAGCGCACCCTTAATCACAAAAAACACCATCAATCAAAGCCTAATACAAAAAAGCATGCTTAATAATTTGAAAACAACACAAACCATCATAGGTCATCCCGACAAACCCAAGAACTAAATATAAAAGCACAAGAAAAAAAAATTAAAAATTTAACTCAAAGAAGAAAACCCAGATAAAAACTAACCTGTTTTATCTGGTCAGAAGAAAAATTCAGGAGAAAGAAAGTAGCTTGAATGTTATCTGGGACTCAGAAAGCGTAGCCAATGAATGAATCTATTGAAGGGTTGAAAAAGCGACGACACCACAAACACTTGTCGGGGGAAGAAAATTGCCAGGGAACAGTGCTGCTGTAAACCAGATTTGCACCTATTATCCATAAATCTTCTGCTTAGATATTGCGAAGAGATGAAGAACAAAACTTTGGGGGTTACGGCGATTCTTCCCAAAGGGTCTCTCAGAGGCCACAGATAGATTTTGGAGAGAGAAAAGGAACACGTAAATAGAGAAACAGATTTGACAGCCGCCACGCCGTCACGGAATCAATAAGGCTGTTACGGAATCAATACACATAACATGGGAATTTACGAAATTCTCCTTCTTCATTTTAGGTTTATTTCTATTTTTATACATTTAATTAATTGTGTTTGCTGTACTTTTATTTTATAATTAATAATAAATTTAAATATGATCAATATTTTTTTAAATTTTAATTAAAAACATAAATATTTATTTATCTTAGATAACATATTACATTTTTAGGATTCTTCAATCACGATGAAGTTGAAAATACTTATATTTAGAGAAATTTTTGGTTTAAAAATTATTTTATCTTATTATTTTTTTAATTATAATAATTTAACTCAAATTTGAAAGTTATATAGTAAGAAATAACTGCAATACTTTATATATTATTTTAATAATAAAAATATTAAAATTATTTTCACAGATTAAACAATCTTATTTATTTTAGAAATCAATATATGTACGAACGTATTAAATTTAGCACACAATCAATTAATGTTTGATTTTATTTTATTTTTTAAAAGAAAATCATAAATACTATTCTATTTTTATACATTCTTTCATAATTACTATTTTATTTGATACATTCTTTCATAACTACGATATTAATCATGCATTATATACCAAAAACACCAATTCACATATTATTATATAATAATAAGTTTGTATACTGGAACCTAATAGGATTTTATTAGTTAATTTTTATTGGTCTGGTAAAAATATTTTAAATTATAAACTATAATTTTTAAAAATAAAATATTAAATTCATTTAGTAAAAAGAAAAATATATCTTACCCGTACTTATTTTTCTTTCCAACGAATCAAAGTTAATTTTGATAAAATATTCACAATTTGATTTAATTCAATTTTTTTATCAAACAATTAATAAATTAAACATAAAAATTAAATATAATTAAACTTAGTTTTGATATTAGTTTAATATAAAATAAAAATCAAAGTTGAGTTTAGATTAGACTTGCAGTTATTATTATTATTATTATTATTATTAATTTATTAAATAATATTTTTAAAAATATCAAATATTTTTTATACAAATTATATTAAATATTTTATAATAAAATGTTTAATTATATCTATAATAATAATTTAATATTGCTTAAATATATAAATAAATTATTACAACTAAAAATTATAATGTTATTATTATAATTTTACTAAATATAAATATATTCTAAATAAAATATAATCTTCAAAATATATTTATATATAATTAGTAATTAATTTTAAATATATAATATTATATTGAAATAAGATATATTATTTCATCTTTTTCTTAATTTTTAATTAAAATTTATTAATTTAAAAAATATCTAAATAATCTTATTTTTTTATTTTAAAATTTTGTTAAAATTGATATATAATTATATTTTTAATCTTTCGGTAATAAATATTTTTAAAATTTGTTTTGTAAAATATGTTAGATGTATAGTTTGAGACCTGAGGTGTAATTTTAATGGAGTTAAGAGCATATACCTAAAATTTCAGACAAAATAAATTAAAAGAAGGAACTAACCTAAGGTTGAGAGAGAAAGAGAGATTGTCGAAGTAGAGTCCCAACCAAGTCTCTTAGCTGAGAGTTTAGGATCGGAATTCTGCCACCGAATTCTGCCACGGTTTTTCGATCATCTCACCCTCCTTGCATACCTACAACCTTGAATTTGTATGTTGCTTTCCCTCTGTTTGTTTTAACTTATTTTATTGGAATTCCAATTTGACATTATATTTTTTATCCCAAGATTTGTTTTTTACATAGTACAATTCTTTTAGTTTCTTCCCTTAGTCTTTGATTGAATGCCCTGAAAACTGTTCTAATTGGGTCTCTCTGCAAAATTCTCTTCTGGATTTTGTTTTTGTTCTTGGCTTGGCTTTATATATTTTTCTGCTTTGGAATTTACGTGGTTGGTGCATAGTTTTGTATGAATTTTTCAATATATGTGAGACCCTGGGGAAATTTCAGCATATGTAATGATATCTTTGTTTATGGGAATCCATTTCTTGTTTGTGTAATGTTTTTTCTCTTGTATTTAAGATGGCTATGTGGATTTGGGGCACTTAACTTTACATCAAATTTTCTAAGTATTATTTTGATTAGGGGATTGAAGAAGTGCTGGATAGATATTTGTGCTACTTGGTAGAGGGTACCATAGGTTATTATTCTTAGTGTTGTTTGTTTTATTTCTTGATTCCTTGCTTTCTTTATTTATTCATTGACAGGAATACGTATCTTCTTTCCCTTGATGGAATTAAAGTTTTATTTGCATCACTTTAACCAGTTGTTGACCTAACATGTGCTGGCTGTTTCGCAATCATCCCTCTGTGAATTTTTAGAAGTCTGAAATGCAGATTATCATGTCTTTGTTGGCTAGTTGTGGAATGTGTTAGGTTGAGAAAAAACTCTTTTTTGTTTAATATGTTCTTTAGTGTATCTTTCAACTTTTGTCACGGCATAGTAATGAGCATGAGTTTTTGAAGGCTTCTTTATTTCATTATTTACCTCTTTTTACAGCAGATATTGGCACAAACTTGGCTTGTTTCTATGAGCCAATTCTCGTGCTTTCTTCAGCTTCATAATGGTATTGAAGGGTTTATGTGAAAGGATAGTTGCTTCAAAATGCTCTTCTAAAAGCTCAACCGAGACTGTAGATTGTACTCAGGTGCCTGCTTATTTAAAAGCAGGGTCTAGTGACAGTAAGTTTCACAAGGCTTCCTTATGGTCAAGCATCTTTACATCTGGTTTTTCAGTGGTTGAATCATACAGTGAATCATCTGCTTCTGAAAAGAAAGCAGTTCATTCTCGAAGTAGTGGGTGGGCAGCGGCTGTGAGGAAAGTTGTAACCAGTGGTTCAATGAGGAGATTTCATGAGCGTGTACTTGGACCAAGCAGGACCGACATTTCAAGCTCTGATGGTGATATATGGCTTCTAGGTGTCTGTCATAAAATTTCACAGCAAGAGTCAACCGGAGGTGTAGATACTAGTAATGGATTAGCATCATTTGAGCAAGATTTTTCCTCAAAAATCCTAGTTACGTATCGGAAAGGTCTGATGAACATGTACTACTTTTTTCTGGGGGATGTATTATGATAATAGATATTAGACTAACAAATTTTAATATGAATACTCTATAGGCTTTGATGCTATTGGAGATTCAAAGTATACTAGTGATGTTAATTGGGGTTGTATGCTTCGAAGCAGTCAGATGCTTGTTGCTCAGGTATTATGCCTTCTATTTAATGATTTCTTTTTTGACAGTGGAATTGTCATATGGTACCTTCTTATAATCTCTGTTTCCTTTTGGCCTGTTTTTGTCGTCTTTTAAAATGAAGCTACTAATGTGGCTTTCTTGTGGTGTACAGGCATTACTTTTTCATAAATTAGGTAGATCATGGAGAAAAACTGTTGATAAGGTCAGGTGATTGATATGTTATATGCTGTTTCAGTAATTGGACTGTTTTTCCCCTATATCCTCTTTTTTTCTACCTCTGTGTATCTTTGTATGTCTTGTTTTGCCTTGAGATGTAATGCCCTTGGGTTGACTCATTGTTGTATTTCTTTAATTTCTTTAATTTGCAGCCAATGGATAAAGAATATCTAAAAATCTTGCAACTTTTTGGTGATTCGGAGGCTTCTGCCTTTTCTATCCACAATCTTCTTCAAGCTGGTAAAGGTTATGGCCTTGCTGTTGGGTCATGGGTGGGACCATATGCCATGTGTCGCACCTGGGAAGTTCTTGCCCGTAACCAGAGGGAGAAGAATGACCTTGGAGAACCTCCACTTCCAATGGCTATTTATGTTGTTTCTGGAGATGAAGATGGGGAACGTGGTGGAGCACCTGTTGTCTGCATTGAAGATGCCTCTGAACGCTGCTCTGAGTTTTCAAGGGGCGTTGCTGCTTGGACACCTTTACTTTTGTTGGTACCTTTGGTACTTGGACTTGATAAAGTCAATCCCAGGTGTGTTACATTTTCAAGTTTCATTGGTACTAATTAATTGATTCACAATTGAGCCTAGTAGTATCATTATATTTGTTAAATAGAAATGTTCCCTGCCTATTTGGTTTCTCTTACAAGTAATAGGTGGCAATCCATAAAGAATGTTTCCTTTATTTAATTCTTAAATTGTTGAAGTCAAGAATAAGCAGACTGAGTTAAGTATAATTTCACTGGAAAAAGTTGGCTTTCAGAAATTAGTAAGCAGACTTAATTACGTACAGGCAACGCACCGTTTTCCCCTATCAAGGAGCCTTGTTCTGCATTAAGAAATTGGTAAAACTACCCAATGAATAACCACCCCCAATGCCCATACATACACATAAATCATCATTCATCATTCGATAATGTTATTATGGATAATGGAACAATTAACTTACAACAAAGAATGGCAATGAGACTGAGTGTCCGAATAAAAGTTTAATAACAGAATAGAGCACAGCAACATACAGTGGATAGATAATACAGATTTAAAGAAAAGAAAAACAGAAATTCACACACACCCTCCCCACTCCTTACTTTCTCTATGCAACTAATTGTTGCTCCACAAATATTCCTTCAAATATGAGTTAGTTACTCTCCTTCATGTGCTTTTCCTGCATTCCACGGTCTTTGGAACATTAGGCGAGTCTCCTGAACTGCTAGCCGCATTCTCCTCACTCCTATCACTTTACAAATTTGCCGTTACATGACCTTGTGATATTACAGATAACTGTAAAACAACATTTTATTTATATAATTGACTAAATAACTATATAAATATATAATGCTACACAAAAGGACAACAATAATAATATCCGTTCCATAACTCCCTAAAGATACAACTACTGCATGCACAACTTACTGAGTCTCAGTATACTTATCCCTTCACTCAAGTTTTCCTATGTCTATCATAAATCCAATAAGCCAATCAAAAACATAAAATTTTGCATATTTACTGCTGAGTATATGTCAAAATTGTGTGAAGTTACATTTCCTGTTTTTCTACATGGAATTACATCTATAATGGGACACCTGATCACTCAGGTAGACTCCATCCAATGGGGTGAAACTTGTATGCTGTAATAATTCATCACCAGCCTTGCAAAAACCATTGGTGATTCAAACTTCAACCATTTCTGCATAATGATGCAACATATTATTGTCTCTATCTTTCTGATGATTTAGTACCACAGAGATAATAATTAGGAGTAGTAGGTATTTGTAGTTTCATAATCATAGGTAAATTTACCTATAGGCTATATTATTGGCACATGAAGATTTTAAAAGATAATTTAAAATTTTTTGTTTAATTTTTACTGTAGTGCAGTGTAATTACTGATAGTTGCATGTATAAGCTATTGTCAGGTATATTCCATTATTGCACTCAACTTTTAAATTTCCCCAAAGCCTTGGCATCATGGGTGGCAAACCAGGTGCTTCAACATACATTATTGGTGTTCAAAGTGAAAAGGCATTCTACCTTGATCCACATGATGTTCAGTCGGTAAGAAAGTATAAAAAAAATGTTTTTTGTACCTCATACTTTTGAGATTGTGAAAATTGTATCATATTTCTTCATATATATGAAATTACTTATTGAATGTATAATTTACTGGTACGCCATGCTCCATCTTGATTGCAAATCTGCGGTCAGTTAGTTGAAAAAGCTAGTATTAAAATGTTGTGTTTTGATATAATAAATGCTTTCTTCTTCAATAAACGATATTCCAACTTGTTAGTTTTGTTTTCTTTTTTTTTTTTTTTTTTTTTTTTAAATTGTTGGCACTTCATCCTCAGCAATGACTACCAAATACCATCATTTGGTTTTTAACTATATGATAGAATTATCTTTATGTATGCAAATACATATAAGTCTAGAAAACAATGGTCTTCCTGAATGTTTTGCAGGTTTAAAATCATGCATGGTTTTTTAGTTATTTTTCTATATTGCGATATTGAATTTGCAAATGAGTAGCCAACAATGGGATCTTGAACTTTAGGTTACAAAATGTTGACTAAAACGCAGGAACAGGCTAATAGAACTCAGTTAATGATGTAGGTAAGCACATATTTGGAGATTGGTAGAGCTTGAAATTGTTGTCGGTTTAGAAGAAAGCATTACAATATAGGACTATCTTTGCCAATCTTGAGTGTCAAACAAAATAATAATAATAATAAAAAAACTGATAATCACTAAAAGGAAAAAAAGTGCACAAACAGGTGGATCCGTGACGACCTAGTTGTTGGGATTTGGGAGGGAATGAAATCCTATTTGGTTTTCTTTCTGTTTATGCATGACTTCAATCATACAGTGTCAAGGTTGTTATTGGGTTGGTGAAGCATTAATAGTTCACTAAATACGTCTTAAATGGTTTTCAGGTTGTTAATATCAGTGGGGATACTCAGGAGCCTATTAGTACTTCATCATACCATTGCAAGTAGGCTTTATACGAGTAATGATTTTATTTTATTCTGTTAACTACAATTCATTCGTTCCCGATTGTCTAAGTTTTTCAAAACTCTTACCAGTGTTATGAGGCACATACCCCTAGATTCAATTGATCCATCCTTGGCTATTGGATTTTACTGCCGAGACAAAGGTTTGCTGGTTACTTTGGCCTAATTTCATGTGTTCAATAATTATGGCTAATATCTAAGCTCTCTCATCATCAATGGTGGTTGGCAGATGATTTTGATGATTTCTGCTCCCAAGCTTCCAAGCTTGCAGAAGAATCAAATGGTGCACCATTGTTCACTGTAGCTCAGTCTCGGAGTTTCTCAAATGAAGTCTCTGGTAATGATGTGTCTGGTAACAACACTGGATTCGAAGAGGACGCTTTCCCTGGTACAGACCACATCAATGATACAGGAACCAATGAGGATGATTGGCAACTCGTATAAATGTCATTGCCAGACCGAGACTATGACATGGATTATAAGTACAGTGTCAAAAAATTGTTGCTTGATTCTCGCGGGCCTAATTGCCGCTGCACGATTTGTTGATCCCTGGCATGGGGCTCCCACTCTTCAAACATTGTTTAATAATAGTCTTGTAGAAAGTAATTTAAACTCATTATGATTCTTTGGCTTAAATCATCCTTTGCTCATTTGTTTATATAGCTAACCAGAATTTGTTGTACATTACAACGGCTAGTTTGATTGTATTGGTTGCCTGTACCCTTTTATTGGCTACAAAATTGTAGTGGATAGTACTGTGGGGCTACAAATAAATGGTAGAAAGTAGTTCACATTGAGATGGTATGTTTTCTTTAAATATAGGACAGTAAAAACCGATCACTTGAGCACTTATAAACTATGTTTAAAGTTTTCTATTAGCGGCGCTGCATTGATGTTGCATTAGCTAGTCATGTAATGATGAGTGTGTTTGGTTATACATTTAAGCATCTGTTTCAAAGTTATCAAGAAATCAATTGTGATTGAAGAAATTTGATGGATATACGTTTAACAGATTCAACTTTCTTACCATCCAATGACATGTCAATGATACTACCCATGTGTTGTATTTGGATACTAAAGTCATTGTTAGTTGGCCGGTTGTGTTATCTCATAGGGTTTTTTTTTTCCTGTTTCGTAAAATAGAGAAACTAAATATATAGATTTAATTTTACCACTGATTAAATAAAAATTAGGAAAGAAAACTTTCATGTACTAACAAATTTTCATGTTGGTGAATTACGTATAAAATTTAAACTGTAATAAACATAAAATTTTATTATCTGTGAATAAACCCTTTTTAAATTGTATGCTATTTGTAATAGTTTTTTTTTTTACTTCATATAAGATTGAATTTTTGGATAATTTTATTCTAAAAGCATTATAATAAAAAAATGACAGTAGCTCCCTCTTGACAGTGATCTAGATGTTCCAAAATTCTTCTTAGTCAAACACATTGGCAAGTACAAAATATAGTTGTTATGAACTCTGTTTCTGTTGTTTTTTTATGACTAAGATATTACACCATCTCCCCAAATTAAAAACATAACCAGATGTATTTTTTTTATCTTCTCAATCCCTGCATAATCACTATTAGTATAGACAAGTAATTCTACATTTCCTTCAGCTTTATAAAAAAATCCTAAATTTTGAGTTCCCTACAAATATCTCAAAATACGTCTTGTTGCTAGGAAATGACTGTCTTTAAGATGCTCTATGAAGCGATTAATCACGCTAATTGAATGTGCAATATCCGGTCTAGTGGTATTCAGATACATAAGGTTTTTGAGTAAAGTATTATTAATTTCTACCCTTTATCTGTTTTCAACAACTTAATACCTAGAACAATAGGATTCTTAGCTAAATTACAGTCAAGCATATATAATATGTCTAACATATCCCTGATATATTTCTTCTGTCCAATAAAAATTTCGTCACAGCTTTACAAAATTTCAATGCTCATAAAGTATCTCATCTTGCCTAAGTCAATCATAGCAAACTCATTCATCATCATATTTTTAAACTCTAGAAATATTTATTCATGATTAACTGTGTATATCAAATCATCTACATAAACACAAACAATTAAGAGTGTATCTTTCTCCTTTCTTTTCACAAATAGGGTGTGTTCATGTGGGTATCTTAAAAAATCATTAGCTGCAAGATAAGATTTCAACCTGTTGTGTCAGGCTCTAGGAGCCTATTCCTGTTTAAGACCATACAGGGCTTTTCTAAGTTTGTATAGTTGATGTTAGGTCCCGTAGAGACATAGTCCTGCGATTATTCTAAATATACATCTTCATTCATTGACCAATGTAAGAAGGTTGACTTGATATCAAGTTGTGATAAATATTCCACATTTTTGTGGCTACTAGTGCAACAACAGTTATAATGGTTTCCAAACAAGCTACTAGTGCAAAAATCTCGCTATAATGGATGTCCTCTTTTTGAATGTATCCTTTTACTTCTAGTCTGACTTTAAATTTATCAATGTTCTCTGTCTCCTTCAATTTTGTCTTGTAAATCCACTTGACACCTATAATTTTGCAATTTGGTGGTGGATCAACTAGCTCTCATGTATCATTTCTTTGAATGACTTGAAATTCAGCATGCATGGCATCTTTCCAATGTTGACTCTGTTATGCTTGGTTGTATGTTACTGGATCTGCACCTACAAACATTACAAAATTTATAGCATCTTCATTAATTAAATCATCATCAGTGACAGGTTAGTAGTCTTTTAGTCCTCCCTTCAATTGAAAGGGCTCTTGCTGGAGAATCAGAGGTTGAGTTCATCCCTGTTGTATTGGTGGTTGTTGTTGCATCATCAAGTTTATTTTGAATACTCCCTCATTTGCTTGAGGAAAATCTTCCACACGTCTAGCATCAATCATTCTATTGGTTTCTGCTTCACTTCAATCCCAAGCAGCATCCTTTTGAAATTTGACATCTCTGCTGATATGAATATTCTTATTAATAGGATCATAAGCTTTAGACTCCTCACTTATACCTAACAACACACATTTAATACTTTTTTCATTCAGTTTGCTCTTTTTTTGGTTAGGTATATGAACAAATCCAATGCAACCAAAAAGTATGAAGTAAGAAACAGATGACTTAAATCTACTTCATGTTTCTTTGGGTGAGATATTTTTTACTGCAAGTGTTGGACTATATGAACCACTCAAAAGGATCGTGAAACTTTTCTTTTTATCAAAACACTTCGAACCATACTTATAATGGTCTAATTCTTCCTCTCAGCTACACCATTTTGTTGTGGTGTGTATGAGGTAATGAACTGTCTTTGAATACTCTGCTCTTTACAAAAATCAACAAACTCCTTGGAGGTGTATTCTTCCCTATCAGTACGTAAAAATTTAAATAAAGGTATCAACTTGTTTTTCTACTAATGCTTTAAAATTTTTTAAAGGTCTCAAATGCTTCATTTTTTTCACCAAGGAAATATACTAACACTTTCCTACTAAAATCATTAGTGAAAGTAAGTATGTATCTTTTATTTCCATTAAATGTAGGATTGATGGGGCCACATATATCATAATAGACTAGTTGTAACACTTAAAATGTACGCCAATGGCTTTGATGTGGAAAAGGATCTCTTTGATGCTTCCTTTGAGACAATGTTCACACAATTGAGTTGGGGACTTTAAGGTAGGTAGCCCTTTCACCATATCATGCTTTAACAAGGTTTCCAATCCACTATAACTCAAGTGATCACAACGAGAGTGTCAGATTTGAGCTATTGTTGGTTTTGAACTTAAGTAATTGTAAGAAACTCCAGATTTTACTGACATAACAAACATGAGATTAGTAGTCATAAATGTTTTAAATATCAGACCCTCTCTCTTTGAAACACTTCACACTTATTTTCTTTCATTTTAATCCTTAATCCTTTCTCCAAAAATTGACCCACACTAAATAAATTATTCTTTAACTCAGGAACATAAAATACGTCCATAACTACATGCATAACTTTATTAATTTGCAATTTAATCGTGCCCTTCCCTGTCACCTTTAAAGCATAGTTATTCTCCAACATTACTTCATCAGAAAAAATAGAATCCATAGGAGAAAATAAGTCCTTTCTAGTTGTCATGTGATTGTTGCAACCTGAATCAATGAACCACATGTAATTGATTCTTCAATTGTTAGAAGTTGTGCCATGAGTAATAAGGTTTCTTCACCACCTTCAGCATAATTTGCTCTGCTATCCCGAGGCTTCTTTGGACATTCATATTAAAAGTGTCCGAACTCATGGCAGTAGTAGTACTCTATTGTTACCTTATTCATAAATTGTCTACCTCTTCTCCTCTTCCTCTTGTATGCTCCTGAAAAACACTTCTTCCCTATCCATTATCAGCACTTGCCTCCTCCTGTGAAACCTTCAATATTTGCTCTTTATGAGAATTGTGCCCATTCATTCTCTGCTCATGCACTAATAAACTACCTTAGAGTTCATCTATAGTCATGAAATCTAAATTATGACATTCCTCAATGGAACATACTACATAATTGTATCTCAAAGTCATTGAACTAAGAATTTTTTCAGGTCAGATACCTGCTCACCTTGCAGTCTCATCTTGTTTGCAATTGTGAGAATTCGTGCAAAGTAATTATCAATTGATTCATCATTCTTCATCTATAGAATCTTCCATTTGTGTCGTAGAGCCTGTAATTGAGCTCGTTTCACCCTCGCAGTGCTTTGATATTTTTGTTTCAATGAATCCTAAATCTCCTTCGATATTGCTTTTTCAAGATTGTTTTATCAATAGCTTGAAACAAGTAGTTTTTCACCTTTAAATCCTTCCTCCAGAACTTTTTCGTCATTATTTGATAAAATAGCTCCACTTGCATGATGTGGAATTCCACGAACTATAAGATTCCAGTACTCTTTTAACCTTAAGAAGTTCTCTATTAGTAATGCCCAAAGATAGTAATGTTCATTCAACTTTGGAATTACAGGTTGCACAAAATTACTCATTATATGATAAAACAACTCCATCTGTATGTTGTGGAATTCCAGGAAATAGCAAGAATTGATATAGGAAGGAAAAGAGATAGGAGCTGGACACGTGCCAGTACTAGCAACTTATAGAATTTGTTACATTTCTGTTTTGGAACAGGGAATTGGTTAGTTAGTTAGAGATTGACTATATAAGGAAAATTGTAAATAGCTATCAGTCATTCATATAAAACAAATTCTTCCCTTTAACTCATTATTTTCTCGAGAATAATCAAATTGGATCAAAATTCCTTCTTTTCTCATGAATTCCCTTCTTCTTCGTTGATGTTGTTCGATTGTTTGTCTTTCCTAGCTCATCCTTATCAAGTGGTATCTTAGAGTCATACCTTCTCCAAGAATTTATGGCGGAGAATACGAGACGACTATTCGTGAGGTTGAAGATCGTGTCGCTACAAATATGGAGGCA